CCTCACCCTCGGCTGCAAGTTCCAAGAGACGATCATTACCGGCCGAGACTACAACTGTCTTTGAAGACGACGAGCAACTAGATGATACTGGGGTAGTAATAGCAAACCTAGCCCACGATTTGAATTTCCGGGATGTTCCCCAATATATCGAGTACATCCGCAACAACATGTTTAGCGGTATGCCAGAGAAAGCCGGCATGAATTCAACCAGGATAGCAGAGGTTTTGAACTTCCGAAGAAGATTGCCGCCATTTGTCACAGTAGCGCACATTGACGCTCTGAGTACATCCTCAACGCGGAATGAGCGAGAAATCTCTGAGCTGGCAAGAGCGGGCATCTTGCGTAGGGTAACGATACCGAATCGTGGTGTTGGTGCTGCTGCTGTGGGTGATGGTATCGCTTCGGTACGAGAGTGGCAGGCACTTGTACAGGCTCATGCTGAACTACCTGAAGAGCTGAAAGGTAGACCACCAAATCTATCAAATGAATGCACATAGCTGACGTAGCGTCAGCAAAATATATAGCTGCCATGAACGCCAATCCAACATCGACGTCCATCCCCGGCACAACCTTCACATCTCCTGAGCTCTCAGCCTTGGTAACCTTTGGCTTCCTTACCTCAGCTTCGTACTTTCCATCCAACACCTCTCTTTTTGCATCACCAGGCGCCAGCTCACTCCTCGCCGTCTCTGCATCTGGATCTCGCCACGCAGCTGGCTCTCTAGATGCCGTCGGCGGTACATATGCAACCCAACATATCCACGGCGGATCGGGATCACGTCCCTCCGTAGCGGCACAATATAACTTATCCCTACCCAACATGGGTGCGCATATCAAGCTCTTGGTTGATGCGCGGAACCATCTTCTCGCTTTGCTGAACAAGACCAAGTACAAAGAGATGCCACTTGATATCCTTCGCGAGCGGTGGGACGGTGGTGTTACAGCCAACGATATCAAAGCAGAGAGGAAGAAGTTGAGAGGAGAGTTTGCAGGCGTATTACCTGGCCGGACGAAGAAATGGAAAACCTTTTACGGCATGAGGTTTGACTGGGTTTTGGAGGAATGTCTAGGCGCTGGACTAGTCGAACTTTTTGAGACGGGGAGCGTTGGCAGAGCTGTTCGAGCGATAACATAATTCAACCATTCTTTGTTATCTCAACATTTAGATTGCCCCTCGGCCGGCCGTCACCGACCCGAGTGGAGTTGATGATCGACAGTGAACATTTCACCTTCCTACACGCGTACGACACAACGCCGATCAGTTTACTTGAAACTCAACGTGGAAAACATGACGCGTACCAACACACCATCACACGCGAGCAATGCGCACAGTAGTCTCGTCACTTTGTCATTTCTTTGTATGATGCTGTGCTGAACTGCTCTGCCATCTACAGTCTGTTTTCGTACAATGTTTCATATCGAGTAGTTTGACCTCTCGCCCTGCGTGATATGCCTCACAAACTCCAAACACCCTGCTCTACTGACGTAGCCTCATCAAGTAAGCATAACAATTTGGTCCGCCCGTTCCTCGCAATCATACGCCTGTACTAGTAGAATATGAAGTACATAACTGAAGTGCTCGTGTGGTCATGCAGTCAAGAGTATGCTGTGTAGCCAATTTTTCCAAATCAACAAGGAGGGAGCCTAGTGGAAACGATTGTGGTATGCGTACTGCCAGCAATGATAGTTGCGCATGGAAACATCGCCAGAAGCACAATAGGGCCAAGTCCAGTAACCGCCGTTACCGTACATGTGCATTCATGCGTGAGCAATCTCACTGAAGCCGTGTTTGTAGTCCCTCGATCGCTCATGGCCATGAGCGATACGAGAGCCACGTGGAAGTAGTCCTGGAGTGGATGAAATTGGGTTTGATAAGCGCTAGAGTACTGATACACGATCGTGGAATAATCTGACGTCACATCTGTAAAGTAGATGGCCCTGCAGACAGGACACGTCAGTCGCTAGAGAGCAGGAGACATGTAACAGACCACCTACCGGAGATTTAAAACATCAAGCTACGCAAAGAGACTAATCCATGTAGAAATCGCCTTTGAGGATCCGCTCCTGCATGGCGTCGGGCACCTTGGGCTTGGGCATCTCGCGGGCAGGTGGCTCCATGATTGTGACACTCTTAGCACGCTGGTGCGTTGGAAGAGACGGGCTCAACATTCCGCTAGGGCCGGAGATGGAGCCTCGCTCGGCTCGCGATCGGAGGTTCTCAGCGAAATTGTAACCTTCGCCTGTTGAAGACGATGTTAGCGAGTAGTTTCCCAGTATATTCTCGGACTGCTCTGCAATAGTGGAAGGCCAGATGTGCGATATAGATGTAGATCGCCGCGAATGTGCATGGGTAAAGGGACGAAGCAAGGTAGCGGAAGAGGGCAATGACTGCGACAATGAAGACAGACCTCGACCTCGACCAGTCGGGGGAGAGGAAGCTTTATGGATGGGTGGTCTACCATTTGGGTTCCCAACGCCTCCGTTGCTCTGCCTGACATCCCGCATTGCACGAGCTCCGAAGCTCAGCCGTCGAACAAAGGGTGTGGCCGGGTTGCTGCTGCTAGCAGACGTGGAAGGGGCGTAGTCATCCTCGAATGGGCTCTCGTCGACAGAGCCAGAGTTGGCGCTGGAGATGCTCTCGGTTCGGGTTCGCGGGGTCTGGAGGAAGGGTGATGTCTGGCCGGGCGAGGCACCAAGACCAAGGGTGGTGAGCGAGAGCCGCCGCCGCTGAGCATTGGCGGCTGCTGTGGTAATGGGGCCTGAAGAGGGCTGTTGCTGGCCTACATAGCTGTTTGACCGGCCAAACAGGTCCTGGAAGGTCTGGCTGGTGACTGAAGCACGTCGGCGAGTATCCGGCGAAGGTAGCGGCGGTGAGTTTCGACCGTTGGAGGACATTATGAGGGTGACAGCGAAGTTTGGGACAAGTTCAAAGTGTGTACAAGAAGGTTAATTGAATCGAGGGGTCGTGTGCGAAGAACAAATCAGAATGGGGTGCTCAAAGCAACAAGGCAAGAGGGGGGGTGGGATGATTGATATGTCGCTAGGCGCACAGACAGGGTCCCCGAGATGCAGTACGTCAGCGGGGGTCGATGGCGTGATAAGCGAATTACGTTTGCAAGGGAATCGCGTTCGATAAGGTGGACTAGCAGGAGACTTTGGTTCAACAGGTTAAGAGAAGAAGGTCGAAATGGCAAGAAACAGGGACGATGGACAGGAGAGTAATATGGAAGCAACAGCGGGTGTCTTGGCTGCGCTTGCCAAAGGATGCCCATCTGCCCTAGTTCTCCAAGCGGATTAGCTCCGCTCCTTCCCCGCAGTCCGGCCATGCACATGTGTGGATAAAGGACGCGGCCCTTTCACCTGCCATCCAACCACGTCCAGAGGCAACTCGAGCCTAGCCGCTGCACTCCCCGCAGTCGAGCGCGCGACCCACCTTCTTGTGCCCACAACGACTATCACGATCAACACGGACACGGTAAGTTCCTAGCTAGCATAAGCTTGGTACGAGCTATCTTGCCACTCAGATCCCTTCACTTATTCACCTGCATGTCTACTTGATCATGCCATTCACACGCCATACAACTCCAACGTTGATGCCTCTGTCCTCGCTACATCTGCTCAGAATCTTTGCAAGACGAGTGTGTATTACACACAATCACTTTATCTGCGTCTTGTGCTTGACGCCAAACGCATGCTTATGCTATGCGGAGACGGCGGAACACCTAGATAACACATGCTCTGTAACATGTCGCATACTGCGGGGGCTTACAACAAGCGTCATACTGTGTATGCGCCGATTTAGAGGCCGCGAGCAAAAGCGGAAGGTTAATCGCTAGTCCTAGTGGACATTTTGCACTCTACAGGACGAACACCCCACCATGTCCAAGGCCAGGTGCACCACAAAACAACAATCACTTGAGCAACATCGTGTGTACGCCAGATGAACGCCTTCCAACTTAGCGCCTCGATACACCGGCCACTTAGACGTACCAATGACAGAGTCGTTGTACGACGTGCAGCTGAGTCTTACATGATTGGCTCATGTAGACGTCCGACGCCGACTTGCTATCTTGCATGCTACGAGATATCTGATCCGACATTCACACCGACATGTAGTTTGATCTATAATAGCTTCCATGTGCCAGATGCGCCAAGCGCGTAGTAAACGAATGATTAACTCCTGCCGCACTTGACGACATGGGAAAGCCTATGGCATGTGAAGTTCAGCTATGAGATGCACCAGGTCCACTTCGTGCATTCCGGTCTTGTTTCGAGTCAGTCAGCCGTCGGCCATGATCCCAGTTCCGCGGGATCTTTCTATATATCGGACCTTGGCACTGTATGAATGCGGAGCCTCGTATCATCTGATATGTGCAGCTTAGGGGTCGCACTTAATTGCTTTGGGTCTATCACCCTTCAACAAACTTATCAATGTCACAAGTGGTTGCATGGGACTATTGAACGGACTTTCTCGACTCCGGAATACATTTAGAAGCATAGGTTTTGTAGCTTACAGTGCTAACGGTAAATTGTAGCGTAGAAATAGTGCTCAAATTATGTATACAAGGAGTGTGTAGAAGAGAAAGGACACATCAAGTGTGCCCTGAAAAAATCAGGGACGTTAAAGTTCCGGTGAGCAACCGGCTGAAGAGAAAGCAAAAGAAAGAAGCGAAGAGATTCAGAATCATCTGGCCTATTGTTGGCCAGAGTCGGGTGGCCATGAAGGGAGAGAACATAACAAAACAAAGGCTGACGAAGACAGACCAAAGTCCGACGACCTTGGGTAAAGAAGAAGAAAATGACAGCTAGCGCTGCAGACAGCCGTAACGTCGTAAGGAAAGACATGAAGATATTAAACGATGAGAAATGCCACAAAGAAAGGAATGGAACAAATGCAAAAATCCGCCAACGCCAGAACAAAAGCAAAATGTGAGCGCAATGGCACCACCGCCCACTCAACGGTTGTTTTGACCGCAAGACACACCGCTTGCCGACCGGGATTATTGCATCGCCCGCTTCGGCTCTCGTTCGCGTACCGCCGACCCTGGCCTTTTACGGTTCTCATAGACCAGGTTGCGGAAGAGATTCATGTAATGAGCAGGCGCATCAGCCTCAATCAGCTTGCGTTCGACATCCTGCAACACTGTCCAGTGGTTACGGTATACGTCTTCTTGTGGTAAAGACGCAAGCGCTTCGAGTACAAATTGATGGTCGTCATCTGTTTGTGCTCCAATGAGTGCAACGTATAGGTTGCTTTGCACAGGGTCCGATAAAGCCTCCATGCCGCTCCATGTAATGCCTTCGTATGCATTTACATTGCGGTCTGTGACACGGTCAAGGATAGTGACAAGAGCCATCGCTGCTCGTGCAGCTGCATCCTCGACATCAGCCTGGCGATGGTAAAAGTCATCAATGGCCCCGACTAGTGAGGTCAACTGCTCTGCGCAACTGGAAACATCGAACCGAGGCGGGCCTTCAGAGAGAGTTTTGGGTCCTTTGGCAATGTACTCATCCAGAGCATCGAAGGTCAACGCGATGCGCTTTTCAACCTTTTCAAAGAAAACACGGCTTTCGAAGTCTGCATCGATGATCTTGCGCATCTGAAGGTACAGACTGGGGTCTCTACTTGCGTACTGCGTGAAGAGATCTGCGAGCTCTTGGTACTTCTTTGATCGTTCTGAAGTCAAGGGCGATTCAGGATACCGAAACTCCCCAGGAAGCGCATCTCGGGGCTCGAAGCAGGAGAACATATCGATGACTGTTTCCTTCAGGTCATCATCGTCTTCAGGTAGGTCGTCGTCGTCTCGGTAAACCCACTTCAAGTCGTTGGCGATGTTGGCTAAACCCTTGGTATCGAGTATTTCAGCAGGCTTCACATCTTCGATTTTCGAGCCATCAGGTGAGAGGTGAAGTGGTGTCTTCACCATGTCGTCTGGCGAAGTCGAAATGATCTGGTCTCCAACCCAATAGATATGCTTAGAGTCTTTTTTAGTCATGTTTCAATAGTCGTACGCTGGTAATCATACCTTACATGCGAGGCCTTTCTCGTTGGCACCACATGTACACTCTGGCCTCCTTAACCTTCCACCCATCGCCACGGTGATATCGTCCTCAAGATGGAAGAATTTCTTTGGACTACCACCCGGACTGTATTCATCTTCCGAGACTGCGCAGTACTTCAACCTAATCTCGCTGCCTTCTAGTCCCTTCTTGGCCCGTCTTCGTAGGTCGGTATCGAAAGCCGAAACATTGTAGTGGAGATTCTTCGTCGATATAACCAGGGAAGGCGTAGGCGAAACGGTCGACTCGACTGACGGTAGGGGCTGATCTTGGTCAGAGTGATCTGATGACTGTGCACTAGCTCTTGCTGCCCTTGCGGCCCCAGCACGAGTTGTAACCATGTCCTCTCCAAGAGAGAGCTTCGAGAATTGCTCTGCTGACATGAAGAACCTTCGTTTTGAGGTACTTTGATACTAAAAGCCAGTTGACGAGCTATATATCAACCCAATTCCCCCAGCTCCACGCCACCATCTTAGCTGATCCATCGTGTAGGCAGAACATGTCCTCCATCTTACGACGGCGCTTAACGAGTAGGCCTTCCGTGCCGTAGAGCATTGGGACGTGTGAAGCGGATGTGGCTTGCTCGTGAAGAACCGAATGTAGGGGAGGGAAACGGCCAACGCCGCAGTACTGCCTGGCTTACTAGAGCCAGTGTGGTAGGGTCACAACGGACATTTGCCGCAATTCCGTGTACATTGGTGTCTTTATCGCGTCAATCACCTGCTTCTGGGCACCATAACTGTCATAATACCCACTTATTCATGAGCATTCTTTGTTGTACGCCAATAGAATTGCATCATTAGACCGAATGCCCAGTCTGTTTGAGGCGAAGCGATGAATGCTTTAACCCGACACGGTTAAATTAGGGGCGGCCGATGATCAAGGAATTGCCTTCTCCAGAGAATTATCTCGTTTTGCCGCCGGACCTTAATCTCAGAAATGCCGCTAAATGGTCGAGCTCAGCTATCGCAGGCTGAGTTGGGGTGATAATGCAAGGCACGGCTTTCGCGCACCGCAGCGGAGGCGACTCTCGTGATGCAGGTTGCAGCAGCAGGAATGCCACCTCAATGCAAACCTGAATGCGTGCCGAGAGGCTGGACGCGAGAAGGCTGCTAGCCAGGGACCATCGACGTAATCGTAAATTCGATAGAGTTGCCTGAGGTCGCAGGCATCATCGGTCGGTCCGCGATGGTGGAGTTACAAAAGTTGACGTTCGCTCGGACTCCAGCTCAGCCTTCGCGGCGCTCGCAAACCTTGCAATTGCCAGTCAATAAGTGGCCTCAAATCGTTATAAGGCTGACTGGAGTGAAAGGAGTAATACACTTCTAATTAAGCTTCTGACGGCCTGAAGATGTTCATCATGCGTGGCACACTCTGACGATGTCCACCTTGTTGAGGACGCCTTGGGCCTCGCATCGCAGGCCTAGGAGGGGGCATGTTCTTCGCTCGAGACTGTACTACGCAATGCACTAGCAGTAGTTACAGCTTTCGTGGCAGTGAGAGCGCTCAGGTGTTGGCGCATGCCGTTGTTGATGGATGCATACCGTGGTTGTGTCGCGTTCTCCAGGTTAGATCAAGTCGCGAAGCCCGACCACACCAGCTGGCTCACCGTTCCCGTATCGAGTTGTGACGAGCGCGTCAACATTGCTATACCACCCCAAGCTACATGTTTCGAAGATGATTTTCGGGAATACTTTTAATCAATGGGGCGGGGCAGATTTACGCCTCTTGCATGATGTTGCCCATTCAGCTGTTTCGAATAACCGCCGTGCGAGCGAGAGAAGCGGAACGGCCCCGGACGAGCAACAATGGAGATCGAAGTACTATGAAGTCTTGTCACAGATTGAGACAAGCCCCCAAAGGTGTGCTGCACAGTGGGTTCGTCTATGAAGTGGATAAGAGTTTGCGAGGCGTGGAAAGACGCAACAGCCTCCACATGCAGTATTCGCTCGCGGCGTGACGACACCTCAGGTGTCCAACACCATGGTGATCCGCGCTAGCTACCTAGGCACACTAGGTAGTATCATCGCATAAGGTTGGTTCACTTGAGATCTTGACAGATCGTGTAGGTTGTTGTTCTGTCATTGGAGTTGGTGGAGGAAGGCAGGCAGGATACACCCGTCTGTGAGCGATCGAGGATGACACCACCTGTGCAGGTACAGGCGGGATGGCGCTGCGTCATTGCGGTCACCAACGCGCTGCACCACCACAACAGAAAGTTCGAAGCTGAAGGATCAAGGTGAAGCCCGTGTGCACTATGGATTGTGTTGGTATACGGGTCTAATCACAAGCGACTTAGTCTGCGGTGTTATAGCGGCACAGCACCGAAGCAGTTAGAGCGACTAACGCGGGGCGCGAAGCTGACATGTGGTCAAGCACAAGGGACACTTTGAGTCGCACATTCCATCCACACTACTACGCACACCGTCACCAGTCTTGACAGACAGTCTACATACCTCGGCCTTGTAAAGACGTTGCTATCCTCGTGCCTGACATCTTGAGTCATAGATCGGATAACCAAACCGCGATCATGTCTCAGCCCACGTCACCCTCTATACCCGCCTTCTATCGCATATTCTTTACTTATGTCGACCCCATAATCTGCGCCTGGGGTGCGACCATGGACTTCTTCATGCCTACCACTGTCCTTTCATCGCATATTCCCTCTCCCACTCCGGACATTGGTCATGTTATGATCCTGAAGCAGCGCGGCGGCGGTATGCTGAATTTTGGCATTATATCTGCTGTTCTACTACGTTACACACAGGATATGAACGTTTGGCGCATTGTCCAGTTGTCTTGCTTCGTCGTCGATTTGGCATACTATTGGGCGGTGTGGGAGGTTCTGGCTAAGCAGAAGAGACTAGACATGGGGACATGGAGGGCGGAAGATTGGGGAAGTATCGGAATCACGGCATTTGCAGGATTGGTGAGGCTGGCGTTTCTGGCACGAGTGGGATTTGGTGAAGCTGAGAACAAGGAGGGTAAGAAGAACTTGTAGACCTTGAGAAATGATTTCGTGTGCACGCTTGTGTGTGGTATGAATGTAAAGGTCCGAGTCTGTACGAGATCCCAATATTCATATTCGTTTCGACCCCTTGTTCATTATTTCAAGAAGGTTGAAAGAGAAGAGTCATTAAGATAATTCTCTTGCTGCGCCCCTTATTGACTCTCATATTACTCCAGAACCCAACGTTATCCACTCAGCTATGTCTTCACGATCACGCGCTATCGTTGGTTCATGTTCCTGAAGCTCCTGTAGCTCAGCTGCAAAAACGACTGCCTGTCTCGACCCAATTCTCAGTGCAACAAAATGGAGAATCTTAATGATCCACTCCCGCAGACCAGGTGTAATAAGCACACACATACCCACGGTATATATTGGCTGGATGATCTGCATCAGCCTTGGCGAAACGACCGAATTAATAAAGGTGCCCGGTTCTCTCATGACATCTTCGTCTGGAGAATCCTCATCGGTCTTTTTCCCTTGTGCGAAAGGCTGTGCAGGTGATGGTACCATACCCGTAATTTGAGGCACCGCGGAGATGATTGCCGCGATATTAGCCCGCAGTATGTCCTCCTCAAACTGTATACATGTCTTTAGGGAAGCAACATCGAAGCTTGGTGGCGCATGTTCCTCATAAAGCCTGACCAGATTCGTTCTTATGATTTCGTGTATCTGGATCCCAAGAAACCGCGTATAGTTCCACATCTGAGTTATGACGGGATGGAGACAGAGGCTATACAGATTTCCATAGTAGTGGTCCGAAGGCGCCTTGAGATGGACTCTTATGGGTTGCCATACTTGAGGTAGGGAAGCCTTGATCTTTTCTAGCTCTTGGTCGTGTTTCCTGGCCTTGTTGATTATCTCGACGGGGCTGTAGCTTTTGTCTTGGTTGAGTTTGACAACAGCGTGCATGAGATGCAGTATGCTCATCATAAACTTTTTTCCGAGCTCCTGGAATCCCCCGCCTGTCGGTATCTGATCATATAACTCTTGCATCCCCTCTAAAATTTCGTTTATGAAGTAAGCACATGTTTCACTTGCACTTCGAACAGGGGCTTACTAACTTGGAATGTTCGTTCCCAACTCCATCGTGAAGAATAACGCAACACCATAAGACTGCAAAAATATCTGCCGTCCAAGCTCTGTATCGAATTGGGACTTTCCTCGGAGCATGAACAACGTGTAAGCGCCGCTGACGTGCTTGGACCATCTGGCTATAGAGCTCTTGTCCGTGTATCTCGTGCCCTCGTACATACCAAGTAGGATTACGGAGACCACGGTGCTGTCTTTGATGGCTGTTTCGTGCGACATGAGTGCTCTGTTGGTCTCCTCCAACGCGGATACGTATGCAATCCGTGCTTTCTGCATGATGGCAGGAGATTTTACTGTATTGGAGAAGACAGCTAGACTCAGGGCTCGAAAGCTTTCGCGAAGACTGCCCTCGACATCCGTCCGAGATAGGAGCTGAGGAATCCACTCAAATTGACCTCCTTGGGGGAAGTCGGCAGTGCCCGCGTAGTTGGCAAGGAAGTACCCTTGGGCTCGCGCGTCGATATTCGGCGTAGGTTGCACAATCATCTCAGCACTTGGTGGTATCCGCACCGGATACATCCTCTGCAAGCTTCTAATTTTAGCCGGCTCTCCACGTCTCCAAGGTGTTGTTGGTTCTTTTGACTTGGCAAGCTCTTCGTAGCGCCTCTCTGCCTTCTTCGCCACGACATGGCTTTCGTTCTTGAACATCAGCGACACCGGATCCCGATATCCATGGCATTCTTTGCTTGCGCGAAGACATTGTGAGCATGAGGGCCGCTTCTGGTCACACTTCAGCAGCAGGTTAGCACTCTAGACGCCTGGTCGCGGTTGCGCTACATACCCTGATTCTCCTGTCCCTACAAGTCTTGCATCCTGGAGAGGGTCTCCCTACATTTGGCATCGCGATGAATGATGACTAATTACCCAGTGACGATACGATGCAGTCCGGACCCGCACTACTAATTTCTCACCCACATTGATGGGGTAAGGAACGCCACGTTGTGCCTGGAGAGAGCAAGCGAGGACGCAGGAATCACCTAGGCACCGTAGGTACCAGTTGACTTACCCCGCTATCGAACCACGACTGGGCAACCGTAGCGAGCCATCCCTGCTTTCCGTTCCAAGACTCGACTATCGCATGCTACTGCTGCAACAAAGCTTGAAAACACTCGAAGTAGCATCATGTTGGATTATGTTGAACATGTTCTATTACACTGGAAAGAATGTCTTCTATTTACAACAGATCGGTAGGTTCATCAAAGATAATATATACAAATCATCAAGCCTTTTCTGCTATCCCCAAAGCGATTCAAGCAGCATCCCTGGAATTGACCTGCTCTAGGTGCGTCGACACACCTTTCTTCTCAGCATACTCGCTCTCGGTATCACTAACATGGAAGCTATCGACGACTGTGCTCTTGAATTTCCTGGCAGGAACACGCTGCTCGAAGAGGAGATCGAGCTCTCCGTAAGTTCGGCCCTTTGGTTCAGGAAGACGGAAGAACGCCCAGATGAAGCAGCAAAAGCAAGTTCCAGCATAGAATAGGCCACTCTTTGCGCCCCAATTCCAAGCACCAGGGTTGAGCATGCGTGGGGTGATGACGTTGCCGATAATGGAACCGAAGTTGTAGAAGTTCCTGGCCAAGACAACCGTCTTTTGGCGGAGACGGGTGGATGGGATCTCTGCGACGATTGAGTAACAGACAGGTCCGACTGTGCAGTTGTATGCAGCAGCAAAAAGCAAAAGCATAGCGCCGATGCTCCATTGCGCACCAGTGTTGCCAGCTGGAATGAAACCAAGACCTCCAATGATGCTCAAGAGCAGAACCATGACGAGATCGCCGTAAACGTACAAAGTGCGGCGGCCTACGCGTTGGATCAAGATCCAGGCCGCGAAGACACCAACACCGCCAATCGCGTATTGTCCAAGACTCATGGAGAAGGCGTTCTCGTCGCTAAGGCCTGCTTGCTGGAAAAAGTAAGTTGAATAGCCGATAAGACCTGCTCCACAGAAAGCTTGTGTAAACCATGCCATGGCAGCAATTTCAGTTCGTCGAAGATCGGTGCCTTTGAAGCAGTCCAAGTATGAAGTACCCTCAGAAACTGCCATCTCCATGGCATTGGTGTGGCGCATCATAGCAATGGTCTCGTCGGCGTTGAAGTCGGGTAGCTTCTCTGGCGATGTCAGGCGCATCAACATCTTCTTGGCTTCGTCATAGCGGTCTTTTCGGACAAGCCACCATGGTGATTCAGGTGCGAAAGAGATACCGATCATCAAAGGAAGTGGCCAGAGCCACTGCAGAGCATATGGAATGCGGTATGCCCATTGGTCGGGGCGCTCGGCCACACCCTTGAGAACGCCTGAGGCGAGGAATTGACCGATGACCCAGCAGAGGTTGACGTATGTTGTAAGAATTGGGCGGAGCGGAACCGGTACGACTTCTGCAGCGTAGGTGCAGGTCAGGGTCTGGAAGACACCCCACGGTATACCGCACAGGATGAGACCGCATAGTAGCATGACGATGTTCTGCGCAAAGAAGACGATGAAGATGAAGAGGTTGACGACGAATAGCGCGCCGATCATTGTCTTCTTGTACCCGAAGCGATCCGCAATAAGACCGTTCAGGAGCAGACCCGTGAACTCTCCGACGTATGCACCGTTTGTAAGGCCAGCTTGCCAGGCGGCTGTGAGTTCCCAATCGCCGTTGGGGAGCTGTTGACCAAACTTTTGCTTGAAGGCAGGCACTGCCATCAGATTGGCGATCAAGACTTTGTCGAAGCCTTCCATGATGATGGCTGCTGAAAGTAGCACCGACCAGGCAATGGCCTTTGGGTACAACTTGACACCCTGTCGCAAGGTCATCTGTTGTTCTGATCGCGTCGCGTTGCCGGCATCGTGGGCGACTTGTTTGATGTCCGGGACGGCAATTGAGAGGCGGCGTGCCTGTTCCGCATCGATAGCGACGACGCTGCTGTTACGATGGGACATCGTGGCCGTGTCGAAGAACGCAACGATATCGAAACGTATTGACAATTGTGGGTATATCAAAAAGATGAAGAAGGATTCTGTGGGTCAAACCCAGACTTCCCCTGATGTGGAGCTGGTGGGACTTGAAGCTGGATGGTGATCTCTCTTGATGGATCTCGTCGTTCTACTTATATAACTTCACGACTCCAGACACGCAATACCCATGTACAGGCCGAGCTCGTGCCAAGTCAGAAGCCGGGGATGGTGGAGTGAGCCAGAGGATGCGGGGAGGGACGCCACTCTTGCAGATGTCGAGGCCATGTTGTTCGCGCAACCATCCCTCAGGACATGGCTGAAAGGCTAGGCTGTAGCTGGACAGAACCGCCGACAAGGGCGTGCCGTCGAAAATTCTCGGAGGGAAATCTGACGCGTTGATTGGGGCATTCTCGGCCCGAGATCGCAGAGAGGCAGGAGAAAACTACTCGTGTGGCAAGCAACTGACGGTTCAAGGTTTGCTTTGATGCTAGGGGCGACTGTGCACCCGTTCCAGGGCTGGCGCAGTTCACAGGGCTTCATGTTATTCGCCGCATGTCGGCTCATGTCCACAGGCAAATCGATAGCCCGCGTATCCACCATCTCCCCGCGCCCATCCTCGCTTGTTTCCCGTAGTGCTGGATTTTGCGGGAGAGAACGTTGGAACCGTATGTGATGGAAAACATCTGTGGGGAAGCTGTCGCTCAGTTTTGTGGGGATCTCCAGCTCCAGAGAGCCGGTCCGATGTTCAGCGAATGAGCACTTGTACAATCCTACCGAGAATTCTTCCGGATTTGGGGCGGGGCCTCCACGTGCAGAATCCGATGATTAGATCTCAACGACAACTCACTCCATCTGATAAAGGCGCATATTGCAAGACGTTTATAAGAAAGCTGCTGGTGCCGTTTTCAAGCCACCGAACGAACGCTTGTCCTTTTTGACGCTGCGTACTACTCTTACAATACTCAGGTGGCCAAGCGTTCTACAAACGACACAAAAGTTTAACAGCATCACAATGACTGTTCCTCAAAGGCCTTGGTGGAAGGATGGTGTCGTGTACCAGATATACCCTGCTTCCTTCAAAGACTCCAATGGCGATGGCATTGGTGACCTCAATGGCATCATCTCAGAGCTGGACTACATCCGCTCTATCGGTGTTGACGTCATTTGGATTTGTCCCATGTACGATTCACCTCAAGTCGACAGTAAGCAACGTCTTTGTACCAAGTACATACAACACACACGCTGACTTGGAGACCCAAACTCCAGTGGGGTATGATATTCGTGACTATGAGGATGTGTACAGACCATATGGTACCGTCCAAGACATGGAGAGACTGATTGCTGAGACACATTCACGAGGCATGAAGATCATATTAGATCTGGTAGTCAACCACACTTCTGACCAGGTATGCCTTGACTGTATATTTTCGTCAATACCCGCACAGAGCTGACTCTGGAAAGCACAAATGGTTTCAAGAGTCACGGTCGTCAAAAGATAACCCCAAGAGAGACTGGTACATCTGGAGACCAGCTCGGTATGTTGACGGCCAGCGCAAAGCCCCCAACAATTGGGTCTCCAACTTCACAGGGAGTGTTTGGGAATGGGATGAACACACCCAAGAGTATTACCTCCATCTCTTCTGCCCCGAACAACCCGATCTCAATTGGGAAAATCCAGAGACTCGACAAGCCATCTACAAGTCCGCTATGGAGTTTTGGCTACAGCGTGGTGTCGACGGCTTCCGTGTTGATACTGTCAACATGTACAGCAAGGGTGAGATGCTAGACGCCCCAGTCACTGATCCAGGTTCGGAATGGCAGTTTGCTGGATACCAGTACTGCAATGGTCCAAGGATGGCAGAGTTCTTGAATGAGATGAACCAGATCTTGGAGAAGTACGATGCCATGACAGTTGGCGAATGTCCGCACACACGCGATATGAAGAGGGTACTAGAATACGTCAGCGCAAAAGAGAAGCAGCTAAACATGGTCTTCCAATTCGTAAGTAGACCACGACACGGTAGAATCATAAAAGACTGCACCAGCTGACAAGTATTGTAGGACGTCGTCGACGTCGGTCAAGGTCCCTACAAATTCCAAACCACACCCAAAAACTGGACACTTCCAGACTTCAAGCGTGCGATAGCCCGCACACAAGATTTAATTCGCTCCCCCTCAGATGGCTGGACCACTGTCTTCCTCGAGAATCACGACCAAAGTCGGTCTATCTCGCGATTCACTTCCGATGCGCCCGAGCACCGCGTCGCAGGCGGCAAGATGCTCGCATTGATGATGGCAGCACTCAGCGGCACACTGTTCATCTATCAAGGCCAGGAAATTGGTATGACCAACTTCCCTCTGACCTGGGATATGAGCGAGTACAAAGATGTCGAGTCGTCGAACTACTACAAAATGGTAGCTGCGCGGACAAACAACGATTCCAAGGCCCTCGAAGATGCCCATGTATCGCTTCAGCACCTTGCTAGAGACCATGCTCGTGTCCCAATGAGCTGGTCGACTGCACCGCACAACGGCTTTTCGCCTCCGGACGCAACCGCAAAACCGTGGATGCGGCCCCTCGAGGATGCGGATGTATGCAACGCCACCCAGCAACAAAGCGACAAGAATTCCGTCCTGGCTTTCTGGAAGCGTATGCTACAAGTGCGCAAACAGCACAACGATCTCCTTGTTCACGGTCAGTACGACGATTTGGACTTGGAGAGCAAAGATTTCTTCGTTTTCAGCAAGACATGGAACGAGAAGAAGGCAGTATGCATTTGCAACTTCACGGACAAAAAGAAGGATCTGGTATTCCCAGAAAGCGTGATGGGCAAGAAGATGGACCTCCTTGTTAGCAGTGTTGATGACTGCGAGGAGAAGAAGTTGGCTGCTTTTGAAGGGAGGATCTATTTACTTGCGTAGATAGCATCACCTGAACAGATTTTCTGCTTGATGCTACACCTCACTGAGCTACATGAGCGACCTGCATCGATAGACGATGTGAGATATTATTCCAAGTAGCCAACTGCCCACTTCTCACCTCCAATCTGGGGATCTCTTGGGCTTGGGTCTGCACCAATTCGTCGGCCAAATCTTCTAATCCTGCAGCTGTCTTCGACTGCGTAACCTGGTACCAAGGGTCATTCGCGCCACCAGGACTGCCAAGTGGCAAGTTCGGCGAGCTAGCGTTGCTGAGTGCTTCAGGGAACATAGTCTGTAGTCGTAACAATTTCTCTTGCAAAATTCCCCGCCGTGTTTGATCAAGATGTGGAATCAACAAGACAAAGTCCAGGATGAAAAGGAAATCATCAACCCGTAGTGCTGTTTCATCGATAGTCGCTGCAGGGACATGAATCAGAACATCAGCAATGGTGTCCGTAATTTCGAAGAGCTTTTGAGTGATGCTGCTTCCATGTACTTCGATATCTTGGCGCGACATGCTGGATAGTTGTTGCCGTAACGTCTGTGACAGTCGTACTGGAAACAAGAGCGATAGACACTCTTTCGATGATCGGGAAGATAGGAGGGTCTGGCTCATAGCTAAGCGCCAGACCAAAGTGCGCAGCCACTCACGGGTGATGCATAAATCGGCCCGTTGCATCATTGACAACATGGCCAGCTCTCGGGCATCGGCTTCAGGATCGCCTTCAAGCTCGCGCGATTTGGCCTCAACCCAGGTGCTAGTTACGCTACCTCCTTGGGAATCAAGCCAACTATCTAGGAACTCCGTGTCGAGCATGCGAAAAAGCTTAATGATTTGGTTGAAACCCTCGTGAATTTGTATCGGAAGGGTGGGATCGTCTTCAGGCAGTGTGAAGAGCGGGGGTAAAATAGCTCGTCGGTAGTCTAAAATAGCTAGAAATCGCTCGTGGATGTACGCTTGCCAGTACAGCCGCTGTCTTCGCGATCGCTCGGGAGGGGATAGCTGTGCCACATTTTCCGGGTTGTCTATCCGCAGAAGCTGAATGATCGTGATGGCGTCTCGCATGTAGTAAAACGCGCTGTCGCTACCTGACAGGCTCATGAGGCAGTTGTGAATGAACATCGACTGGACAGCTCGCATGACAGACACTTGACAATGTTTGTGTGTTCGCCTCATGGTGTCGATCGAGTAGTCCATGAGGCTCTCGATGGTTTGAACGACTTCGTCTGTTCTTTGGTCACCGTAACGCGTAAGATTCAGCGTGCAAGCGCCAAAAGCGAAGACGAACGAGCGAACATCTGGATCGTTGTCCATGACCTCGATGTACTGTCGAAGCTCATATTCGGCAATGACCGGATGTACGGGATACACCCCATCCACATAATCTGGGATAAGGTCGAGGAAATAAGCTTTGGTGTACTGTGATGCAGATGATGGCGAGGGAAATGCTGCCCTGAGTCAGCAGCAGCATTTTTTCATTGGGGTTGAAGTCACCAGCGCGACATACTCGGCGTGCCTCCATTACGGTCAACTATCGGCGAGACGGGGCTGTACGGTGTCTGAAAGCTGGACGTCCCGGAATGAGCTGGCAGTATTGGAGGCGATATCGTTGGCAGGGTGGAGGTCTGGTTTCTGAACTCTGAGATAATATGGCCTCTCTTGCCCTGAGACCTCTGCTTGCCGGACGGTGAGTAGATGCACCGCAAACCGAGATGTGCGCATTGTTGACAACGCGTTTGGCCATTACACCGCACCTTCCTCCTTTTGCACGCGTCGCACGCTTTCGATACTCGTTTTTGAGATGGCTGCTCCATGGTAACGGTTCCTGTTGCGTGCATGATAATTTTGTAGAACCAGGAGCCTCGGAGTCGGGATGATCAGGCGATCTGGGGAAGGCTTGCGGAGACGCGCTAACGGAGCGTAGTTCCTAATTGGTTCGCCCGCAGAATGGGTTTGCTCGACCCGCGAAACAGGCAGGTGCGAGTGGTATAGAAGTCGTGCCGAATAGTCTAGAAACGCGTACCTGAGCCGTAAGGATGAAATGTGGGGTAGATGCATGACAGCTTGTAATGTCCTCGGAGGCGTAAGCTTACCTACATGTAATGGCATGCATAGTTCTGAGAAAATCGCTTTGCAGGAGAATGCATTGACTAACTACGCCCGAACCAGGAGGAAACGCTGCCGAGCGTGCCAGTCATGCAACGGCCGGGAGGTATCCCTGCACAGCTACAGATCAAGTGAATACTAGTAATGCTGGCTTGGAAGATCCGTTGCTCGTAAACTATCCTTGTCTAAGAGGGATACTCTTTTACGCGCGACTTGAGTAACTTGATTCCCGACCCTTTTCTGCGGACAAAATGCGGATCTGGAGTTGCTGTGGTGCAGTTTCGGCTTGAGATCGAAAAGAGTTGCCCACCTCCACAATCTTTGGACAACCGAAACCTCTCCATGGTTTCATCGCTCAGAACTGACTTGACCGAACATGTGTCAGCTTGAGGCTTGATAAACAGTAAAATTGAGGAAGGAGGATATCGAAGCAGTCAAGCGGCAACTACTTGCAGAGCACCTCATTCACAAACCATATCTGCCTGGCCCGAAATCACGAGACGCGCGGAATGCACACCAGCAAATGATAGCAGATATAAGCATCCCAGGATCAGATCAAGCAGCGAGTGCAAATAAGCAATGTTGGCCATGACTTCCCTCCACGTGTATCACCTGGGCATGGCAACAGCATGGGAAAAGCATTGAGAATGAGCTTGAACAATTGACTCCGGAAGAGAAAAGAAGCCTATGGAATTGCAATCGCCTTCTGCCAGCAATGATCGTGATCTCTACTGCTGCCATCATAAACGCCGTCTCATCCTTCCTGCCATAGACGTCCTGTCAACGCCTTACATACATTCATCCTACCATGTACAGCCTGGATCCACCCCAAGGAGTTACCAAATCCCCCAGCAAGATCCGCCGGAACGTCCCTAATTAAACCTCTGAGAAAGCTCCGGAACACCGCTACCACCATACATGGACTCATTCTCGGCCTGCTCTTTCGCCTGGAGGTACTGGTACTTTAGACGAGCGGCCTTGAGCTCAGCCTCCGCAACTTCCAACTCAGCCTGTAGCTTCTGAACCGCGACAGGCTCGTTGGATGTATCTGCGGTCTCAACAGGGTAAATGCGCCCTCCCTGAGGACCAGGAGAAACGGAGAAGGCAGGAGTCGGATGGGGGAGAAGAGAACGACCGCCGGAAGAGCTGATGGAGTCTTCATCGTCGGTGAGAATGGTTCGAGTGGGACGATGAATGGCGGGGCGGCGACCTTCAGGAGTGGCGCTGGTGCGAATGGAGCGATTGCGCTTGTTGGCGTATTTGTCGTAACGTTGGAAGCCGCCAGACGGCGAGCGGCGGAGACGGCCAGGTGCCTCTGTTCGGTGTCAATCAGCTGGTCTCACATTCAATGATTCGCAATGAACAACTGAACATCTGTTGCATCGTTCATGGTATGCCAGAAGGGCCGACTTACTCTTGCGGCGCTTTTCCACAACGCGTGCCTCGTAGAGCTCGTGGTTGCCGTGTCGCTTCTTGGATCCCTTGGGTTGATCTGGCTCTACAAGTTCCTCGAAGTAATCGTCTTCAGAAGACTCTTCTGTTGACTCCTCCCTGTCGACTTGAATGAGGCGCTCTGGGTGCTCATAATCAAGCTTGAGCTCCTTGATATCGGCTAGACGGCACCACGGATGCTTAGGTTCATGAAGAGCGACTTTTGCGCGCAGATCGACTTGAAATTGATCTAAGTTGCCGTTCTTGAGACGCGAAATAGCCCTCAGATCTTTCAGAAACTGCACACCCCAGTTGCGAGGGTTGTTCTCAGTCTTGTCCTTGATGTGGTCGCGGCGTTCACAGTCCCAGGCGCGCATACGGATGTCTTCGGGAATGATTTCTTTGCAGTCGGTGATCCCAAATGACTGTGCTAGAGCGGGAAGAATGCATTCCACCAAATCTTTGGTCTCGTTGTTTAGGGTGTCGAATCGGCCCATAGTGATTGTTGGCCCCTATGAACAATCGACTCGCGAAGCTTGAGCTTACTGGAGAGGATGTCTTGGAATCTTCGAATAAAGTATCCGGATCTGTCAATCAATCGATTAGTTAGCAAGAACTTTCGCGTCAGATGCAAATTGGTGGATTGGAGCGAAAAGCTCGCTCAGACAAATGAAAGCCGTGTCGCTGTTGAGGGCAAAAGCTTTGCGCCAAACAAGTTGTCTGAGCTTACTTTGAATCGTTGAAACGGAACAATATCAAGAGGCCAGATATTGGTGATACCGAAGCAGGAGGTGGGTGGTAGAAAGTCAGTGTAGAAGGTCAGAGACGGCTGCCTATATACTCTCTGGCGCGCTAGCAGTAAGAGACGCTCGCTTGATGCGGATCTCAAGTCGTAGCGAGGCATCCTAATGACGAGTAAGCGGTATGGATATTGTAGTTTGCGAACTCGTGCGCGTGATGTGACGTGTTCGTTAAAGTGAGAAGTGAAAGATCAAAGACGCCGGCAGGTAGCAGTGGCGTTATCGGCAAGAAAATCAGAGAGCAAATTTGTCACCGGCCATATAGTGACTATGTAGCGGTGACAAGGAGAGGGAAACTGTACGTAAAGAGAACACTGGTGAAGATATGTATCTGAGCAAGGATTTGTTTCATGACGTGGTGATAAGAGACCGACTTGATCAAGTCTGGTTTTCAAGGTTTATTGATAGGCCGCCCGAGCAAAGGCAATATGCATGTAGCAAGCCGCCTCATTTTTGAGCTTAGTAGGATGATATCTTCATACAAAATGAACGCACATCGTATAATCTGAGGAGAGTCCAATGACGAGCACACTACGGAATCCTTCATGATTCGGAAGAAAGATGCTGTGCACCTAGTGAAGAGCATCAGACAGGCTCTGTGCCTACACATGACCTTTGGTATTCGGAAGAGCTAGGTAAACTGATGAAACCTTGATTAACGAGGATGATGTTCATCGAAGAAGTATTGACCACTCGGCACGATGTCTCTTTGGAATCTGCGCTAGCGACACGCCTCAGTTTACAACCCTGCCATCTTACCAGCCACCCGTCCTTTCTTTAACTTGAACAACACGACATTCAATCTAACCAATCCAATAAGAGAAATGGCTATGAAAAGGGAACGCTCTCCATCCCCCAAACCCAGATCAGAAATATATCGCTCTTCAAAAATACAAGAGCAGACTTCCACTTTCGCAGCTGCGTTCTCTCCCAACTTATCTGCCAAAGTCCTCCAGACACTCCCCGAATTCAGGACTGCAACCCACAAAATCGCAGCATGGCGGAAACCATCACGACAAAAGTCTTTGATGCCAGATTCCCGGACCTTGTATGATCTTGGCCACGATGATGACGGCGAAAAGTGGGCTGGAGGTCGATTGAGCAATGTATTACGAGATACGCAGACCGAAGGCGTTGTGGTTGTTGCGCGCTGGTACGGTGGGCAAAACATCGGTCCCATACGATTCACGCACATTGAAAACTGTGCCAAAGAAGCCATTTGGAAATGGAAAAACGCTGATACCGAGATCAAGAAAGAGCAGGCTACCAAGAAACAACGAATTGATGAGGAAGCTAAGCGCAAAGAGCTTGTGAACAATTTACAGGAGAGAGATTACAACATCTTCGCACTGCGGAAGTTGTTAAGTCAAAAGAAGGCGAAGTTGCAGGACGAGGAGCCTGCGCCACCGACACCGCAGAAGATGCAGGACTACGGCAAGATGACTATGGATGCGCTAACGAGGGTGGACAAGGCGAGAGACGCAACAATCGCATTCATCTTGAAGCAGATTGATAAGGTTGACGAAGAGCTTAAGCTTGTGGAAGCAATAGAGGACGGCATAGAGGACGGCACGCAGGAGACGGAAGAGGAGGCAAAGGCCGAAGATGCAGAATCCTCGATGCCAAAGTGATACGATGGCAATGTTGGCGCTCAGACACTACATCTAAGTGGACATGACCGTCCTTCTAAAACCAATTACCGATCTCTCGCAACGAGGTCAGGGCCTGAGATGCATCTGGAAAGCCATCAAGCTCCGAACCAGATCTTGGAAAGATTTCTTTGGTACCAACAGCAACCATCCGTGGCCTGTCTATCACCATTCGGCAGATGCGTGGCGATTGCCCAAGTCTTACAGCGCTTCTGCCGATCGCATCGTCAACATGAGAGCAAGTGGGATGTGGAGAGATCCGATTTCGCAGAAAGGAGTGTCAGGTTGTGACTTTGGGGCTGGTAATACCTGCGCTGGTCGAAGCAATGTCGGTCAGCGAGACTCATCGGCAGCGACAGAAGTCACGTAAGGAGACCCGGAATATCAGTGGATGCGACGGTGAGGACTACTGGTTTCTCTCGTCTCATATAGTACATGTCTATAGATGCAGAGTACGCATACACACAGTACATTCAATATACACATAGCGCTCTTGCTGCTCGCATATGAAGGGAACCTGGGGAATCATCCAGCAGTCAAACCCGCCACCCCTCTCTATGGACAGTTCTTTAATGACTGATATTCCACCTTCCCTTCTTCAACCTCCTCATGATCATCTTCCTCCCCTTCTTCGTCCTAATCCTGCTAAGAAATCCATGTCTCCTCTTCCGCACCAGATGACTTGGGTTGTATGTATCACGCGGACCGCATCGGATCTGTGTGCTGCCCAGACCAGGATGTGAGGAGATTTTCGAGGCGAGGTCTAGTGTCTCGGAAGATGAGGGTACGAAAGATGTGCTGCCGGCTGCTGGCAGGGTGTTTGTGCGGGGCAGTATGGGACGCCGGGGTGTGAGGAGAGATATTTGGCGGGTTGATGAGGGCGTAGATATTCTGGTAGGCTGGTCAGATGCGTGGCGGGAGGGTCTTGGGGAGAGATATGTACTGGTATGTTGGTGCTATGCGTGGTCTGAGGAGTGTAGATGCGCTGGTTGCAGGGCGCGCGGCGACCCTCAAGCACCGGAAGGCGTTCATGATTTGTGTTGGAGCCACAATTGCCTCCTCTCTGCCTGTTATACCGTTCTCGTGGTGGCGTGGCCCCGATATGCAGATGCGAGCGTGCAGTTTGGCATGCCCGTCGCGAAGTCCGCAAAGCTAACACAATCGCTGCCGTCCGTGCGCAAAAAGTTGGCCGGCTTGCTACCAAAAACCTGAGCAACTTCTCTATCACGTTCTACAACATCAACTACCCACCAACTTTTTCTACCTCCCACCAAAAGCGCCAAGATGATCCTCGAGGCTCCTCCTCCGCGACGCCACATCTCCAGCGCGCCCATCTCCCTCAGCGACGCATCCGGCATCCTCGAAAAGTACCTCTCAAATTCCGAAACTCACCCACACCTTCACCCTGATGCGACCATCACACCAGAAGGCGTCGCATTCAATGCGCAAGGCGGTGCCATGGGCAATCCAATCATGCACCACTTACGCCGTGTAGCAGCGGGTATGCGCGGCGAATACCAAGAGCCAGAGCGAGCGCTAGACCTGGAAGAGGACCAGCAGGATTTCACTGCCGATGTCACTGTCAGTGGTGGAAAGGGCAAGACAGGCAAGAAAGCGGCGGGTGCCGACGATGATTGGCAAGATCTAGCTTCATACCAAGCGGAGCAAGGCGATATCGAAATCGGCGAGATCGGCGACAGGACGAATGTTGTACAGGAGGGTGGTGAAGAGCCCCAAGTACAGTCTCCCAAGAACAAGGACAGGAAGAAGAGGAAGAACGAGCAGGCAGAGGAGCCGGTCGTAGCGGATGGTCAGATAGACAAGGAGGCGCGGAAGAGGGCGAAGAAAGAGCGAGATCAGCAGAGGAAGAAAGAAAAGGCCGCGAAGAGCAAGGCGACCGAGTAGGGCTATCAGGCATCACGACCTCGAGAGATACACCTGCGCCCAAGCTGCAACGAGATCGAAAGATATACTGGCCATTGCATTCGAGCTGTATTCTACGAATTTCTTATCGCATTCGCGACTGCGTGGTCATGTACCCATGACCTTTTATACCCGATATTGTACAAATCCTGATCGAGATCCACGCCTACAGTTCCCGATCCGCTGCCTTTACAGGCTTCTCGTCGTCCTTCGCCTTATCCTCTGAGACCTTCTTGTCGCCAGTCCAGTTCATAGCCTTGAGGCGCTCTGTCAGAATCGGGTGCGAGTGGTGGAAGCTCGAGTAGAACCAGTCAGCATCCATGCTTGACAGGTTCTGGATTTGAAGCTTGATCAACGAGGCACCGAGTTCGCGCGCATACCCGAGCTTCACGGCGAAAGCATCTGCTGAATGTTAGCGTTGGTCGAGGTATTGGATTGGATCAGCGTATATACCGGCTTCGTACTCCATGCTGCGAGTCCAGATGTTGAGGAGTAGCTTGATAATGGAGTCGGTGGGCGACAAGATCTCGTTGAAGAGCATGAAGCCAACAATGGTCGGATGTTCCCTGTGGAAGCCAAAGTCGGCATACAGCGATCGGTTGTCGATGAAGACGGAGAACAGGGCGAACATGTAGAATAGATGCGCCTGGCTAATAAAAAGAAGTCGCGAGGTGTGGTTCATCTTCCAGTGTCCGAGTTCGTGTGCCAGGACGGCTTCGACTTCCTTCTCTGTGCTCTTCTCCAGCAATGTGTCGTAAATAACAATCTTCTTCTTACCGATCCAGGGGAGTCCAGTGAAGTATGCGTTGCTGTGGGCGCTGCGCTTGCTGCCATCGATAACCTGTAGCTCTGAGAGAGGGAAGTTGAGCTTAGACGCAAGAGCCTCGACAGACTCCTTGAGCTTGCCTGGCTTGAGCGGCTCCAGCTTGTTGAATAGTGGCACAATGAGGATCGGGTAGATGGTCATGCCTGTAATCTGAACGACCAGCATAAACATCCATAGGTAGTAGAAGAAACCCTGGCCAGTCGCCTTGATGATAGACAGGAAAGCGCTTCCAATGGGAACACCGAAAGCGATCGCAAGAGCCTGGCCCTTGACCATGTCCGTGAGCCAGAGCTTGACCGTCATCTTGTTGAAGCCGAACTTCTCCTCCAGCACGAAGCTGTGGTAGTAGGAGAAGCCGAGACCAGCAATCAGATCGATCCATCCCAGCATGTACATGAACAGGAGCGACTGTGTGATTTCACCAGAGAAGCGGACGGGCGCATAGCGGGCGACGACGGTGCCGGCGGCGGCCCAGACGAGCGGGTATACATTGAAGTAGAGCGTGGCGAGAGACTTGACTTGGTTGAAGAGACCGGAGATGAAGCTGAACTTGGCTTTGGCGCGACCATATTCCTGTCATGCTATGTTAGTGCTGTTCAACACAACGGGGCTGCAGTGAATGTGCGCGTACCTGGGACTTGTCGAATGTGTCCCTCTCAATTTCTTTGTCGAGGGCCTTGGGGACAGTGGTTCGTTGGAGGACACGGTATTGACGGAAGAGAAGCCAGTTTTCGAGGGCGAATTCTGCGAGGGAGAAGCCAACGACGAGGCGCTTCCATGGGAAGAGCGGCCGGTCGAGCCAGCGGGCCAGGCGCTAGATTGTGTTAGTACTTTACAACTTGGAAGCGGCTATTCGTAAGCTTGCCTGGAGGAATGCCTGGATCATGGCGATGATGGTGAGTGTCGGTTGTGAAGCGGAGGCACGCGAGGACAGATCGTAACCTTCAATGTTCCGCGCGTCAGCGCTAACGCAGGGTTCCGCAACGGTACGTCACAGCCCTGGACGGCTTTGTTCATCTCGTTCTCTTTCTTCTTTCATGCTGTTCATTCTGACTTGGAATCGTCTAACAGTATATTCGACTATTAGCACAACTTCTAGGAAACTGGAAATCCCTTTTTTGAGTGTTCTACAACGCAGAGCGACTTGCACCGTACACAAGGGAAAAACCGAACATGTATAGAGATAACAAGCTTTACCTTGCAGCTTACAATAGCTTCTAACAGAAAACTTGTAAAGATTAACAGTATTGTAGACTTCTAGATTCCTAATTAATATCTACATTAATTTTAATACGCCTTATTGTAGTAGCATGAAGTACCCTGCTCTAAGAAGACGTTAAGTTTCTCTCTTTGATGTAGTGTTGCTTACTTTGCCTACCACTACCTCTGTCTCACTCTGACGCGTACCACAGGAGTATACTATACAGAATCTATGAACATAGTTGAACATGCATTCCGTAATGGTGGACCTGAGTATTGGCACGCGTTTGCTCGACACGTTGCTTGGGACGAGGAAGCCAACTTGGTTCTGACATGTCCAGCACAGCCAAGATAGACATGTGCGAACCCACTGTACTGGAACGCGCATATATAGCAAAGCAAAACCAGGAGTATACTTTTTGGGTATATACTTACTTCTCAGACTTGGAAGATCGAAGAGAGAAGCTAACCAAGCCGAAGCCGGGAGTGAGTCTCGCCGCGCTTGCCTTGCAGATACGTGGTGAAAGAAAGGTGGAAGGCGTGATCGATCGCACCTCCACTACGCTCTGAGCGAGCAACTGAACAGGTAACCAATTCTCTGTCTCTTCACTGTGATCACATGCAATTTTATCCACGCACCAACACTTACCTCGCCCACACTGTCCAACCTAGCTCGTCATGAAACATCAGAGCAGTGTCTTTCGCGCCAAACGACTATCCAAAGCATTTACATCAACACTGACGAGCGTCTTCGAGAAGGTCGATACGCTGACAGACGCACCAACAACATCCCATCATCTCTTCTTGCCAACAGCCGAACGTAACTCAAAAGACAGCTCTCGACCCGGAAGCGTACAAGACGACTTCAACTTAGCCATCCCAGCCGAAGCACCCACCGAGCATTACATAATACAAGAAAACAAGTATCCTGCTTTACGAGCTTTGCGAAGCGACGCCGAGATTGGAGATGGGATATGGAGATGCTGTCACTGCCGCCACGAGAACATCATCACGCATTACAAGGGAGCGTTCCCTTTCAAGCACCTGGTCTGCAAACGTTGCGGCGAGATACTCTATTCACAATGTCATTCCTCGGAGATTCTTTCCCCTCTACCGTACGGCATGATTCAAGCACCACCACCTGGCCTAGATCGCGAAGTCCGCTATCTCCACGTCTGTACTATTTGCGGGCTGAGCCACCGCGCGGAGATGGAAGGTACGACGCTCGACTTCTATAGCGTCAACTGTGCAGGTTGTGGAAACAGTTCATATGGAGACTGGCCACGTTATCATATTGGAAGTAACGAGCCATACAGAAGAGATCCAGATGCGAGATTTGTCAAGCTCGTCGATGCAAGAGCTGATGATGCAGCGAGGACAGCTTTCCGCTGGATCATTGCAAACGATGATAGACCGCCTTCGAGACTGAGTTGTAAGAATCTGGAAGATATTTGAGACTGTTCAAAAGGGACTGCAGAAAGTGAAGTTACAATACCGCATCAGTGATTGTGTTTGTGGGGCTCTGTTCTCTAGTTGAATAAGGAAGTGAGAGATTGGCCGGCACGCAAAAGGGCGTTAGCTCTACGTATAGATAGTCTCTCAAGTTGTCTTACTGCTGTCTTACTGTTGTCATCTTGCTTCTCGGCGTCTATTCATTAAGGGGATCCATCTCCCACATCGCTCACAACGTCAGTGATATGACTTCTAGCAGTGAGATTGTTTTCATATTTTCGTTGTTTGTGATTAGACATTTCGTCGCCATGGTGAAGCCCAAAACAACAACACGAGCAAACGCCCGCGTGAAGGCTATCGTCTGGACCAGCACCTCCATCCGCTCAACCTTTATCAGGTAAACTCACACAATGCCTAAACAGCGGATGACACTCGCGAGAGCTGACGATTACCTGAAAACTCGACACCGCTTGAAGAGCACAACTAAAGACTATCTCACCCTTTTGAAATCCGTCCCAGTATGCTCACCCGACCTCCGCATCCACCGCGCTTGCTACGTACTTCGAGAGATCTTTTACGCCTATCGCGAAGCTACATGGAGCAGATTCTGTGCCAGCATTTCCCTCGCCACACGACATGACGGTCTCACTATTATCACTGAGGACCCAATGAAGTCAGGGCGGAAGAACGGCTGGTTCGCTGACTTTCCCAATCAACACTTCATCGGCAACCCTACAGCCAAGGAGAAGGTGCTGGCGATCACTCCGTGTTACGATGTCGGCTTCCTGAAGAAGCTCGTAGAACAGCTGTTCGCAGGTACGTCTACAATATCCGCCAATGATGAGAAAAAATACCGTTGACCATAAAAATAACAGGCCTCGACGTACACATCGAAGAAGTCAACGTTCGCCTCAAGACCCTTACTGAGTGCACCATCGTGGCTCTAGAACCCGGGGATGAACTTGACTTGGGATATTACCAAACCCACTGGTGCATGCGCGTCACTGTGCCTTCCACGGGAAAACAGACCGCTCTCGACATCACTGGTGCGCAGTACGGTATTTCCCATGGTGACATGCCGTGGGAGTCGCAACACGAATTTTTTGTCGAAAAGATCCAAGCTGTGAAGCCACTGGGCACGCTTGAGAAGTTTGCAGAAGAGATGGCAACGTTCAAGGGTACTGAAGGCCTCGAGTACCAAGTTGCAGCAGGCGCGATCAAGGCATGGCATCAGACTGTCGATTCTGCGATGGAGCGAAAGGGCTTGACATGGGCGGACGTATTACAGAAACCGGAAGCAGACTATGAGAGACATACAAGGAAGATTATCAGCGTAGGCACAAAGGCTATGCAGAAGTATGCTGCGGTTACAAAGTTGACCAAGAGGAGAAACAAGGCGGAGAGGTATGAGGAGAGGCACGAAGACCAATTGGAGGGAGAGACTGAGGAGCTAGAGATGATCTACTTGGAGTAGATCAGGACATGCTTCTAGACACTCCCTTGGGCTGACGTAGAGCGACTGAGTTGGAGTGCCATGAGAGGACGAGCAACATCTTGGCATCAACACGATCGCTACAGGCAGTGAGCAAACGCTAAAAATCCCATGCTGCGAGTATACTAAGAATTGCCACGGCATAAGTCTGGAATATGAAGAGTGAAACTGTGTCACAAAGTTTGTAACTATCACATGCTTTTTGCATGACTCGCGCTTGTGACGTACGGTTCCGGAGTAGCTGCGCCACACTGGGCGGCGGGTGGCGAACAACCCTCCCCTTAAGACATACCTCTCTTCTCCGCAATCCACGTCTCCTGTTCTCAAACAATACACATACCTAAACACGCTTCTTCAAACCGCAACCATGGATGAAGACCTCGTCGCTTTCGGCATCGTAATGATGCTCTTCCTCTCTTTCCCCTTCCTCACGGTTCTCAGCATTACCGGATGCGTCGCCTACTCCCGCACCAAGACATGGGACAAAGCGCGTAACCAGCGCGCCGTCGGTCTCGAGTCTTCCAACGGAGAAACCAACCGTCTCGTATCTGACGAGGCTGATGAAGAGTCCGACTTCTACGACACCGACGATGAGGAGGAACACAAGAAGAACAAGGCGGAAGAGGAAGCCGACAAGTACCTCACCTTCAACCAAAAGTTCCGTAAGGAGTTCAGGAAGGTGTGGTCAGGCAAGGGCAAGGGCGATATCATCAAGCAGAAGGAGCGCGAGGAGCGCAGGAAGTTGGCCAAGGCAGTCGCGAGGGAGATGGACCGCAGGGAGAGGAGGAAGGCGAGGGCTGCCGTTAAGGCGCAGTCCGAGGACTTGCCGGCATACACCAAGGCGTAGTTTAACTACGCTGGTCTAGCCTTGTCATGAGCAGTAACAACTACTGCAAAGTGGCAAAGGCGGACAACTTTCTCTCTTGGCCATAAATTGATACCCCATAAAATTAAACTCATACATCAGCACTTCTTCCACGAAAGATTCAGTATTTCACCAAATGCGGCATCCGCTGAACCCCCTTGCACGTATCCATTCTTCTTCGAAGTTCCAGAATCCACAGTTGCCGACAAACTAATCTGAATCCTTGCGTCTTTCTTCTGGCAAACCGATGCCTCTGTATTCGACAGTTCGCCGTCTTTGTGTAGGAGGAAGTCATCCTCGAAAGGCCCTGTTATTTTCTTCTGGATGTTTCCCTATAATTCACGTTAGCACCTCCAAGCAACATTCCCAGCTGTCAGAACCGCATACCTTGCCTTTCAAATCTAACCCATTCTTGTCAATCCATTTCCATCGACTGACCAAACTAGCATTCACGCCCTTCTCGATGTACACATATCCGCGGAAATCAGCCGAACTGATATCGAATGCCCATCCAGGCGATGTCATGCCGATATTCACCCTGCAGAACGCGCGTGTACTCGCACCCCCATTCTTCGGTCCGTCTGCGGCAGAGAAGTTATCGAAAATGACGGTCATGGCGGAATTGTCCGAAGCAAGCATGACGCTGGCATCGCCAGGTCTGCAGCCACTTCCTTCAAGATCGACGTCGAGGGTGGTCAAGGTGACTTTGCCCTTTGGTGGTAGAACGGGTGCTGCAGCAAGAGTTACTGCCTGTGGAATGGCTGCGACTAATGTCGCGTAAAGTGTGCAGAGTAGCACGAGGATGAACGACGACATGATGCTTTGAGGCCGAGCAGAATCAATGGAGAAGGAGACATGAGTAAGGCGAGTCGTACGTCTTATGTCTTCCTGCCACGACTGTATTCGTAGTCGTTCATCCTATCGAATACCGCCTTTTCTTACCGCAACCATTGCATTTCGAGAACAATTCTTCGGTTGCGGCTGAAAGGCAGCAAAGCCAGATCCCAATATGCAGTGTCATACGGCAATTGGCATTACTATTTCCAGGGCCTCAGACGAACTGGGTTAGCACGTAGCTCAGCCTGGGATTCGATGGCCCGACAGATTGTTCGAAAGTGAGAAAGGATTTAGCCTATGTGCAGCGCTTCCCACGAAATAACTCAATGCCCATGGTATATTACCAGAGTCGTAAGAACCAAAGCAACCGTTATTATATTTGGTCGTTTCAACAAACCCGTAGATTCTTCTTACGTTGCGTGGAAAGGGATGTAGGTGTAAGCTCGTAAAGTCGTGTCAAGATGCACGTGTGTGAAAGTGTTTCTGGCTTTCGCTGATCAGGAACTAAAAAAGGAACTCGGATTCCTCAAGCTGACTTTCAACGCTAAAACACATGACTATTACTACATACATCTCTCACTCTCGAGCTATACGGCTTCGGTCCGTTGCGCGGGTGCTTTCTCGTGGTGCTCGCTCTCATAGTCAGCATCCTTCCCATCTGCCTGTACAATAAACTCTTCGCGCTTCTCAAAACCGAATAACTCGTCCATCTGATCCATTCGCAATCCTTTCGTATCGTGGATGAAGAAGAAGGCGTAAACGCTAGCGCAGATAAGACAGGTTGCGAAGAAAACGTATACACCCCACTCCATGGAGGTGTACATAGAAGGCAGCGATTTGGTCGCGATCAAAGTCCATATCCAGACCGACGCTGCTGCCCATGGTCCGGATATGGATCGCATAGACGCAGGGAAGATTTCGGAAGAAATGATCCAAGGGAGACCGTTTGCACCAAATGACCAGGCCGCACCGAAGATCATGATCATGGCTGTTGCGGCCTTGCCACCAGCTACTGTCGATTCGGACATGGGCTCACCCACGGTCGGCTTTCCAAGTGCAATGTACACGGCGAGATAGTACTGGCAGAAAGCACATATGAGCGAAGAAATGATCCAAGGCCATTTGCGTCCAAACATGTCGATGAACCAGGTGAAGAAGATAATGGAGCCTCCAGCCTTGATAATCCCATAGATACCTGTCCAGAGCGTGACATCAGACAGTCCGATAGACGTAAAGATGGTCGGCGAATAGTAGTTGATCGCCGCTGCTCCGCTCCAAGCTTGCCACATGAACATGAGGCATACCAAGAGAAACCTGTTTCGCATGCCTGGCATAGATCCCTCGCGTGCTGCCGCTTTGATCGTCGTAAGAAAGCTAGCATGCTTCTGACCATGGAGAAGTGCGGCACGTTCTTTTGCAATCTCGTTTCGCACGTACTGAACATCTTGAGCAATGTAAGGGTGGTCCTCTGGCAGGTTGCGGAAAAAGCTGTATGACTTCAGGGCCTCGGCTTCACGACCACGTTTCAGCAGCCAAGTCGGAGACTCCTTGAGGACTGGTATCATAAGAGCTAGGAGCCCAGCTGGGATCAGCTGAACAGCCATAGGCACTCTCCAAGCAATTGACTTCGAGCTGTCCATGTTGTGTACAATGCCATAATTGATCCAGAATCCGATGACGGCACCAGTCTGGTAGAAGGACTCAAAGAAGCCGGTAAGGCGGCCACGGATAGCGGGAGGTGAAATTTCGGCGATGTAGATGGGAGATACGGCGGCGATGCCTCCTACGCCCATGCCAGTGAAGAAGCGTCCAGCGAGAACAAGGCTCAACTGGCCGTTGGGGACTGCACAATACTGTCAGTATGGCACAACATACACTGCACAGGGCGTCGTGTACTTACCAGTACACATGATTGCGCCGACGATGAAGATGGCGTCTGAGACGATGACCGTAGCGCGACGACCGAGGAGCTCGAGGAATGGGTACATCAACAGTGCTCCTACCAGGCCTCCAGCTGAATAGATGGACGTGATATTGCTGGTTATCTCGTTTTTGTTCGATGCGTTGATGCCAAAGTCTCGTTTGAAAGATTCCTGGGCGATGGTAGTGCCAATGAAGGCGGAGTCATAACCATAGGCCAGAACACCCATTGAAATTACAAGTGCGGCCATGTAGACCCTCCAGTTGTACTATGAGCCATGTTAGTACCTTATCAGATCGCGATTTTCCGAGAAGATAAGAACGTACAACTTCTGGAGGGGTTGGTCGGTCTTCGGGGGCGCGAGCAAAACCACCCATGATGACTGTGAACTGACAAACGATGCTCAGTCTACTGGATAAGTGTTGAAGCTGCGCGTTCCGCAGTTGTCACGATGCCGATCTCAAATCTGGGGTTCCCACGTTCTTTTTAACCAAACTCGCTTCCCCACAAAACACCCAGGCCATCGGGGCGGACGACCAGGTTGCCACATCCGAGCATGAGACTTCCCCAGTGGAGTCTCCAGAGATGGCGCATTCTCGTCGCGTGGGTTTGGTGGCGTGCACAGGAAGCTCGTGGGACTAGTGCAGCCGACAGGCGAGGCTGGCGAAGTCAGTTCGGGAAACGAACGTCACCGTCGCGGTCGCAGCCGACAGCGAATCGCATGCCTCAACAGCCGATGGAACATCCACACGTCTCCACGCTGAAGCGCGTCTTCTCGCATGCTCAATCATAGTACCGGAACGCGTCGCGCAGTCGTGGATGCCAAAATGCGGCGGCTTCGCTCTGGTTTGGATGCATCCTCTACACTCAGTTCTCCTCTTTACTTGCTTCCTTCCTGAGATCCATACAAAATGCCTTCCACAAACGGCACCAACGGCACCACAACATACTCCTTCCCACCAGGAATTCATGTCCCCTCTTTGACTTGGTTCAAGAATGACTCCAAACAAGAAATCGACTGGGACGTCCAAGAGAAGCACTTCGAGTTCTTGATTTCGAATGGTCTTCACGGCATCGTCATCGCAGGAACAAATGGCGAAGCGGCAACATTATCATCCACTGAGAAGACCCAACTCGTTCAAAAAGCACGCAAAACTGCGCAACGCCTTGGCCGTGGAGAACTTCCCATCACGATTGGAGGTGTAGCAGGCTGCACACGCGATGCCATACAACAAACCATTGAGGCAAAGGAGGCAGGCGCATCATATTACCTCGCACTAGTGCCATCCTACTTCCACTTCTCCATGAACCAGGATGCAATCGTAGCCTATTTCCAGGAATTGGCCGACGCATCACCTGTCCCCATCGTTCTGTACAACTTTCCCAATGTCGTGGCTGGTCTCGACATCAACTCCGAGATGCTGGACATCCTTGGCAAACACCAGAACATCGTGGCCGTCAAGCTCACGTGCGGAGGAATTGCAAAGGTTGCAAGAATCAGTGCGGCATTCAGCAAGTCGGACTTCGTTGCCCTTGCGGGTCAAAGTGACTGGCTCATACCAGCTCTGAGCGTTGGCGGAGTTGGCACAATTACTGGTGTCGCAAACTTGTATCCCAAGGTATGTACTATATGCTACAGTTTGGTGCGATCGAAAGCTAACAGACCAGTCCTGTCTACACATGTTCGACCTCTACCAATCCGGCAAGCACGACGAAGCGTCAGCCCTCCAGATCAAACTATCAGTCACCGAATGGGGTTTCGGCAAGGGTGGTATCAACGGCACAAAGTATGTCGTTGCGCATAAGCGAGGATACCCAGAGACCAGCGCAGACTGCCGAAGGCCTTATCCACGATACACAGATGAGGAGAAGAGGAAATGGGTTGTGAACCAGGTATCAGGTCTTGATGAGCTCGAAGCATCGTTATAAAGTGATGCTTCGCAATTAAAATATTAAATTGCTTCCTGGCCGTGAAAATCTGCCGCGTGACAGGATTCTATCAGATTGTCCATTGTTCTCTGAGATCTCTCAACACGCCATCCGTCCTCCACCCTATCAGTTTCTGCAACTGTTCCAGATACTCCACACAAGCCTGCTGCTCCCTCGGATCGATGATATACGCTCCACATGCACTTAGAATATGACTACCCTGGAACATGGCATTTCCACAGTGACTATTACTCACACCGTATCCTATCGTTATCCTCATGTGCTTGCGAATGGCTGCATCGGTAGACTTTCTTGCACGGACACCGGCGAGCCCCACCAAAGAGGCATTAGGCGAGTATATAGTCAGCAGTATCTTGCAGAGGTGGTAGTACTGTAAACCGACTGCTACAACGCCTGACGGGCAGAGCTGTTCGGGCCAACTTCCTTCGAACCGATCACCTGCGTCAGGCTCGACATGGAAAGCAGAAAATGTCCAGGGTTTTGTCCGCTCCCATTCATCTACCTCGTCGCTCAAGTCTTTCCATGTTTCGCGACTAACGTTTTCGCTGCCGTTGTTGCTGCCTCCAAATACGGCTTGCAGGACGTTAGCGAAGAGAAATATGATGCGATTGGCCCAGCTTTCGTCGTCGAACTCGCTGAACACAGCGGAGTGGCGGTAGTTATCGAGACTGAGGTTGAGGGGCTTTTGGGTCGTAAGAGAGACGTAGATGTGTTGGCGAAGAGACACCCAGGATGCCGATTCTCGGAGGCCGCCGTCTGCGGCGAACGATGAGATACTGTTTAGTATACGGGCAGTACCCTGGAGATCACGCATCGGTTAGCAATGTTGTACGTTTGTTTTGGGCAAATGAAACGAGAGCGTACCAGATGGTGGCAGTGTTCATCGGATTCGCCCATTTCTTCATGAAGACGAAGCAGAATAACAGCGATAAGAAAGTTCTCATCCCAATGTGCCAGCGGATCCTCAAGCGCCACGATCAGCGCTTGTAAGCACTGATCTATGTAGGGCTGCGACACATCTGCGGCTTTACCCATCAACCAGCAGTGCCTTGCGGCAACGCCCAGTATACCATTTAGAATCACAGGAAAGTGGGCTGCACGTTTCGGTACCTCGACAGCGAAGTGTCGTCGTGGATCGCATACGTCGATCCATGAAGTGCAGAAGAACAGGTAATGATGGAAAAGACGTGCTTCGTGTGCACTATTCACAGGCCACTTGAGTGGTGGTGCTGAGGAAGGACTGAATGCTGTGGAATTGTAAGGGGACTGGTTGTTAGTGATTGACCCGAAAGGGCTCTTTTTTGACACACTCGGAGACTGCGATAGGCTTTGAAGTGATCCGGGGCTTGCTTGCCAGTGGCTGGTGTTTGCTAGTGGGTTTATCGAAGAGGCGGCTCGAATATGTTGCGATGCGTTGTTGCTCCCAGCACTAGTGCCATGAACTAGGGATGGTGGGATGTGAGTAGTACTGAGAACGTCGTGGATGGACGGCAAATCGCTAGTATCGTCGAATTCTGGAATCGGAACGGTCGCAAATGGGTTTACGTCACGATATGACGATGCCAGTTGGCTCTCGCTGGAAACTCCGTCCAAACGTTGGTCTGGTCGTCGGACATTCGAAGTAACATCAACATCGTTGGACGTGCTTTTGGGATTCGCTTCGCCTTCTGGCACAGCTTCGTACTCTTCTTCGTCACCGCTATCCTTGTTGTGCTCAACAAAGTGCACTACGCCACTTTTTATCAGCCACTGTAGTTGGATAGGACCTGGCGCATACGCACACGAACTTGGTATGTCCACCCATTGCTGACCCACTCGGAATTCGAGCGATTGCTCGGCGGAACCTATGTCTTCACCAGCATTGAACTTCACTGCTGTGACGGGACGGAAGCGAAAGGCATTGCCGCGAACGCATGGCTTTTTGCGCTCAGTGCAATATTTGCATTTTTCCGAGTCGCGCAACTTCACACCTGTATGTTAAGCGTTTGAATCTCATTGGATAGTGAGAGGTGGTACATTTGATATGACGCTCACGGCAGGCTTTACTGTTCAATAATTAGCGTGCATTGAAACTAATTGCGCCGGTTCGACTGACCATCCGCTTCTCTGCCTCATCGTACAATACGGATCCCAAGAAGTGTGAATGATGGGGTTGCCACGTTGAGCCGGGAAACCGAGCCCATGTTGTCGGTTTTCATTCGGGCTACTTACCCCGCCCATTTCGTATGCAGTGTTCCAAGCCTGGCACGCGTTGTCTCAGCTTAAAGCGATACGAATCGAAGGTTGCGGAGATTTTCCCGATTGGAGCTGTGCTCCGAGGATCATTTGCAATTTGATTGGCTCAGATCTGTGCCAGAGATGACAAGTGCTTCCTGCACTGACCTGTATATGGCAAGGTTTTCCGCGTTGCCACTTTCGCCCGAGATCGAAAAACAGAGCGACAGCGTGTGCTTGGGGAAGTTGCAATGGGCATTGATGTTGAACTGCACCTGTCACACAATAGCGAAATGACTCGACGATGCAAAATACTCCTGGCTAACCAGACGCACGTCAACTCTTCTCTTGCCTTCATCTTGCCTTCTTTGTACTTCTTCCAGAAGATCGGCGGTAGCCTTGGCATTGGTAGCGATGCTCTCGAGACCGCGAATTGCGTCAATGATCCATCGTCTTTCTTCGTTATCATCCTCTTCGCAGCCCCACATGAGGAGAGGCCATAAGACGTTAACAGGCAGCGACTCATCTGTCTGCGCCATCAAATGTGTTAGACGCTTTATACTTGCGATAGCGCTTATGACGTCCCTGGTCTTAGGGTACTGCACATACGCGACGCGATGTAAGTGTATGAACGAGGCGTGATAGTTGGCGAGATATGTGCGAAAGCTTCGTGTGAGCGCACCTGCTAGATTCTTGGCTAGATGCTTCTCCGTGAGGTTTCCTGCGACCGCATGATCCATCAATGCCGGTCGCTGACCGTAAAGCGCATGCAGGTCCTTAGAGATCTGTGCTGCGATAGCCATCACTTCTGTCTCGTCCTGAACGGTGCCGCGTGTACGATGCCAGGGGTCAATGCGTGTGATGCGGCCGGCGAAAGACTGCACCTTCTGATAGAAGATGATTCCGGGGTGATATAACACATCAAACAGGATTTCCTCAATCTCAGTGTCTGGCGTGTCCGGTTCTGATCCGGGATTGGCAGCAGGCGATGCATCAAAGATGGTCTCATCCGTATCCGCTAAAAAGAGTCCTTCACCACCTGCCGTTGAGATAGCACGTGCATCGAGAAGACGCAACCAAGAAATAAGTCGGCGTTCTGGGACAGAGAACTTGATCTTGTCCGTGCCCTTTATAAGCATGTATGCTTCTCGTAAGTTGGCGTGGGCTCGCGGCAGCATTTCCGTAAGTAAATCGGTATAGGTAAGCAAGAAAAGGGCGGCGAGCATGTGCCTTAGATTGCTGTCTTCGACTACTCGCGTCTTTGCCAGGCGGCTTGATACCTGTCTAGTTGCAATTTCGTACAAAGGCCTCCAATCTGCCTTGGCCACGTCGTTACCTAGCCCGCTACGCTGCATCTGCATCGCGGCGAATGCTATGATGGCACTCTTGACGATAGGTGACTCTGCAGCTAAAGTGGCAAAGAAGGCCCGGGTGGATGCCCACTTTGGACCAATTTCCACCGGTGTAAGGATAGGCGGCATGAGCATTTGAAGAAATGTGTGTAAGAGATAGTCTTCGTTCGGTCCATTCGGCGCATCCTCGGTCGAGAACGGTGAAGTTGAAGCTGGATCAGGTTGGTTTGGTCTACGCTCTGGCAATTCACGCGCTCCATTATTGGCAGTCGTAGTGACTCCCAGAATCTGACCAGAAGGCCTCTGAGTGTGTGGGAGATGGTGGATAGATTGCGGAACAGGGTCGGCATGCATATTCACATTCGCGAAGGGTCCGGTGTCGGTTGGCCACGAACTGGGACTCAACAGCATGGCTTCATCCCAGGTGCCCAAACTCAAGGGTCCAGATAAATCGAAACCGAATCCATATCCGTCGAATGGTAGTGGACCAGAAAACAAGGGTTGGTGCTGACCCTGTCCCGTGACAAATGGCTGAGATGGCTTGGAAGTGCTGTTCCGGTGCCATGTACCTGTTGGTATGCGAAGTCAGTGCATTTCTCACACACATTGCGTACATTGAAGTTTGAGCTTACAGTCGAGATTCAGTCTTTCACAATGACCGCAACGTGGTCTTTGCTCGTTACATCGCACTTTCCGTCTCCTAGGTTGATGAGCATTGGTGGTGAGCATCAAGGAATTCCTGCATACCTGCACGCATTGCAACCGTTCTTTGACCGCGCAGGACGAGGTGGGGCCGGCGACGATTCAGCTACCGGTACTGGAGTCGCCGTTGGTGGCTGATTTTGTACAGGCTGGGACATAGGCGAAGTTTTTGATCAAATAATTTGATGGATTCAGATGTGAAGACTAGGGTAGAACCGTTTATGTATAACATGCAGCGAAGCGGAGAAATCCCAGTAGTACATGTGTGGGGAGGCCAATCAATGAGCTAAGCCGCTACGTTCGGGGAGCGAAAGAACCCGGGCGTTGATGTTCGCGCCCTTCCATCGAACTCTGCGCGCCCTCACCATAGTGAAGAAGCACCGGTCCTCTGTGATGCACTGCCTACTCTACGCCACAACGCGCCATCAAGGCTTCCACAGTCCATCTCCTTGATAGATGATCGACTCGCAGCATATCGAACACACGCAGGATGCATTCCTCGATACAACACGGAAAATGAGTTTCCTCCAAATGATGCGACCGACCTTTCACGTCCATCAATTTGAGCTCTATTCGCAGATCTATGAAGCACCCAAACACCTCTGCTATGCAACAAAAAGCCTTCTCCTTACTCCTACTGTGCCGATTTTCGCTCTCGCCGCCAGATCTTCACTGGCATCTCACCCAGAATCCAGTTCATCGTCTCCAACCGTTGCAGCTCCCAGTTTGGACTGCTCAGCGCAAAGTCATAGCGTCGCAACACGCTCGCGAGCACCACAGTTTGCTCAAGATATGAGATGTTGCGTCCAATGCAGCCTCTTGCGCCTGCCGAGAAAGCCAGAAAGTAGGGTTGCAACGCCTTGCCCTCTTCACCCAGCCAGCGCTCAGGAATGAACTTATCGGCTTGTGGAAACATGGACTCCTGTCGATGCGCAACGTATGCAGACATAGCGACAGAGACACCACCTGGGATGTAGTCGCCGAGGATGTTCGCGCCTTCTGTTGGCGTTTGTCGCGGTAGCCCATGAGGGGTCGGCGGGAAGAGGCGGAGTGACTCGTCGAGGCACGCGCGAAGATAAGGTAGATGCTTCACCCTGTCATAGGCGATGACCCCGTCGCCTTCCTCTTCGTCATCTTCCAACGCCGAATCGATCTCTTGTACTAGTTTCTTCTTGATTTCAGGGTGCTTAATCAGTTGATACATGACGTTGGCCATCGCAATCGCTGTCGTCGCCGATCCGGCGTTCATCATGATGCTCACTTCCGCAATAATCTCGCCCCACTCCAGGTTATTTGGGTGGCCGTTCTTGTCTTCCATTAGCGTCTGGAAAAAGTCGTCGAGCTTCTCTCCTGCCCTGTATCGCTCAAGGCGCTTGTGAGCAAGTTGAACCGGTACGCCCTCCCATTCATTTGCATATTCGCTCATGCGCTTGTAGAAGGGAACGATGTTGGAGAGTTTGTTAATGAGCGGATACCAATCATATGGCCAGATCAACAACGACTGTTTCCGGGCTGTGTTGTATAGCGCTGGCCTAAAGTCACACTCGTACGTCGAGCCATCTGTTCTACGTCCAGTAACTCTATCGTGACCTCGGTCGAGGAATCCAAGCTTGTCGGAGAGTCCAATATCGGCAATGGCGTCCAATGTGAAGAAATTGGTCCATTTGCGATAGTCAAGGTTTACGTCTTCAGACTGCGGAAGCTGTCCAGGTGCCAGTGGGGCGGTGCAGCACTCGTCGAAATGCTTCAGTAGCTTCTGCGTCTTGTCGGCTACTTTGTGTTCCCAGCCTTCCAGGTTCTTGATAGCATACGCGGAGCTCATCAATTTCCTCTTTCGGGCATGATCGTGCTTGTCTATCACATCGGCAAGATGGTAATGAGAGCCCGCAGTAATCACGTACGATCCGTCCTTAGTGCAGGGCGTGTTATGGCCATAGATATCCTTTACAGCTCGAAGGTCGCCGTATGACAGGAAGTTGGGGCCAACACGGATGACTGGATGCTTTCGATGTAACTTCTCTAAGTATGTGGACCGTGCCCCGCCGTGTGCAAGCACCATGAACGGTATCGAAGAGATACCCGAGAGCGGGTGCATGTTCGGATAGCGTCGAAGACCTGAGTCGTTAGTTGAAGCTCCTTTGTCATCTATGATGGTCAACGTACCGTTAACATCGCGAAAATATTCGATGACTGGATATACAACAAAGTAGAGAAAAGCGCATGCGCCTAGCGCAGCTGCATATGGGATTGAAAGTGCTGCAGTCGACATGATAGAACGTGGTCAACACGACAGGAAGTTTGAATGTGATCTCGTTAGCCACTCTTGAGAGTGCGCTCTGGGGTTTACTTAAGTGTTGGTTGCGACACCTCAATGCCCGTTGATGCAGCTACACAGATTGGATGACGATAGTCTCCCAGGAGCTCAGAAGGGTAGACTTCGGAGAATGATGACCTATTCCGGCATGTATTGCTACGAGCAGCATATGCGCGCTTGCAGACTTAAACTGGGGAACCACTCTTGGTCGCCGACGATTGCTGAACTGTGGGGTAATGCGGGGATGCCGTAGTTTACTCGCCTCATGATCAACCCGACGTTGGTCTACTACGATTATACCCGAATGCCTTGAGTTACTCCACAAGAATTCGAGGTGCTTCCACACTGAGTTTTCGGGCTACACTAACAGGACAGTTCTAGCAGTAATGTCCGTCGCCAACACCTGGCCAGTGCGAATGCTGGCGTATTCGTCTCTAATGGCCCGCATGCTGCAAGCTGACTGAGGAAAGCCCATACTCTTCAACGCGGATATATTGTTCACTCAACCCGTCGACTCTTCTGTAGCCATTTTGTATCCTTCCGCTGTCATGGATTCGTTCAGTCTACCAGTCGATATTCCAGATCTGAGATCACAGCTTAATCCCCTTCTACATGCGCTGAGTACGACACCCGTGTTCAGTAGTCTGAAGCCTTCGACTACAGCGGATGGCTTAGCTGCACTTCTTTTTCTTCTCACATCAATCGGCTGTCTCGCTCGTGGTCGCATTTGGGATAAGCCGGACCCAAATTACCATGTAAGAAAACCGCTTCTTCATCAGTCTGTATCCTTAGTCTAGCAGCGTCACTGACCACAATGTCGCTCCAGATATACTTCGAGAGGCCACAAGTCGCGGAGAGCTCTTCGGACGGAAAGACCACCACGACCCGCGATGTTTGCCAACGCCTCGATGAGGGCGGTTACCATTGTGTCATATTCTGGGGCTCACAGTCTGGCACATCAGAGCGACTTGCTGAAAACCTAGGTCGAGAGTGCGGCGCACGCTTCGGTATAAACGCCCTGGTCGCAGACCTCTCCGATTACGATGCCGAAAGCATTGCCAACATCCAAAAGAAGTACTTCGCTATCTTCATCGTGAGCACATATGGCGAAGGCGATCCCAGCGATAACACAGCTGGTCTTTGGGATTGGATCAAGCGCGTTGGTGAGAACAAGATTCAACTTGAGGGTTTGCGATATCTGGCTTTCGGTCTTGGCAACAGCAACTACAAGTACTATAACAGGGTCCTTGATGTTGTGGCGGATGCCCTCGACGCTGCTGGTGCCACTGCGCTTATCCCACGCCAGAGGGCGGACGACGCCAACGGAGGAACAGAAGAAGACTACCAGGCATGGAAAGACGATGTTTTTGCTCTGCTTACACGGATGGGCTTCCAGGAGAAGGCTATTACCTACGAGCCAAACATCGAAGTTGATCTCGTCGCCTCGAGCCATGATTCCGAAGAGTATTCCGTCACGTCCGTACACCACCAACGATCTGTCACCAACTCAGCCATCGTCCCTTTGACCATCAAGCACGCTCGTGAGTTGTTCAAATCGAGTGATCGCAACTGCGTACATCTGGAGGTAGATCTAGGGAATACGGACATCGTGTACAAAACCGGGGACCACATCGGTGTTTGGCCAATCAATCCTGAAGAAGAAGTCAATCGATTACTAGACGTCCTGGGCTTGCAGGCCCGCAGACAGGACCGCCTCACTGTCATACCCAAGACCCATGCCAATAAGCCAAAGGTACCGTCTCCATCAACGCTCGAGACAGCTTTTCGGAATCATCTGGAAATTTGCGCTCCCGTGGCTCGTAAGGCAGTGCTCGAAATCGCCCAGTTTGCGCCCTCACCTGGAGCGAAGTCGAGGCTTCTCGATATCGCCCAAGATCGTGAGCGTTACGAACGGTTTACGGCTTCTACACACATCACTTTCGCTAGGTTGCTCAAGTTCGTCAGTCCCGAGGATGCGTGGAGGTCGATACCGCTCGCCTTTGTCCTAGAGAACTTGCTACCACTGCAGCCACGGTACTACTCCATCTCTTCAAGCTCTGTCATATCACCACGGCGAATTGCCATTACTGCACTCGTCGTGAACAAGACTATCACGACTGAAGATCAGTCTACAGCAACCATCCATGGACTGACATCCAATTACCTGTTATCAGCCTCTAACCTTCAGTCCGCTGCGAATGCACCCGTTCCTGTCTATCATCGTACAGTCGAAAGTGTAGACCTTCAAGGTCAAACAATCCTCGCGCACGTTAGGAAATCGAAATTCAAACTCCCCATCACATCATCGACTCAATTGATATTGATCAGTGCAGGTACTGGATTCGCACCATTCCGCGCTTTCCTCCAAGAACGCGCGAAATTGCATGCTATTGGTAAACCCATCGGCAAGATGTTGTTGTTCTTCGGTTGCCGCAATCAGAATGACTATATCTACCAAGACGAGTTGGTAAAGATGCAGGAGCAACTAGGCGACAAACTAGAAATTGTCACTGCGTTTTCACGAATGCAGGGGCAACCCAGAACATATGTGCAGGACAGGGTTGCGGAGCGAGCTGGCAAAGTGCTGGAGATGTTAGAGTCAGGGGCGAATATGTACATCTGCGGTAAGGCGAGCATGGCGCGAGAGGTAGACATGAAGCTGGAGGAAGCTGTCATGGAGAAGAAAGGCTTGGCTGAGGTAGATGTCAAGGCGTGGGCCGACGGGTTGAAGAAGCGAGGGAAATGGAAGGCGGATGTCTGGGGGTAATTTGCTTCTAGAATCTAAATTATGACCAATCTTACGAGGCGAAGTACCCCACTTTTAACAAATTTACCCCTGCCAAGCCAAGGAACACGGATACCGAGTCTATCCGCGCCTCAACGGTAACTTGTGCGACAATTATTCCCGCTGCCTTCACTGTTCAACCTAATTTTCACGCCCGCCGTTGCATAGCAGTTTACAATGGATGTCGCTTTGGAGTTTCTCAATCCTCTTGTTTTGGACAAGGCCTACGCATGGGCATTGCCTGCTTCCAACCTCAGCTTAGGGAACTCCTCATACTCTGAGTTTTCGGCCGCTAAAGACGCGCCCACGTCCCAATGGCCACGCGACAACCTCTATCGCCAGATCGTATCGATACTCGTCATCACTCAGCTCGGCGCGACTCTTCTCTACCTTTTTTTCAGTTCTCTGTCATATTATTTTGTATTTGATCGACGACTCGAGTACCACCCTCGCTTTTTGAAGAACCAAGTCCGTCAAGAGATAGTGTCTTCACTCTCCGCCGTCCCATTCATCAATCTTTTGACCCTGCCTATCTTCCTGGCCGAGGTCCGTGGCAAAAGCTTGCTCTACGCCGACACCAGCGACTATGGCTGGCCTTGGTTGTTGATTTCAGCCACACTTTACATGGCTTTCAATGATTTTGCCATCTACTGGATCCACCGCCTGGAACATCACCCCAGTGTGTACAAATACATCCACAAGCCACACCACAAATGGATTGGTAAGTTTTATTTGCTTGCAATGCTCCTACCGTCATGTCACTTTCTCGCAAATATAAACGATGATGCTAACAACAACAGTTCCTACGCCATGGGCTGCGCTAGCCTTTCACCCGCTTGACGGATTTGTGCAATCATTGCCATACCAGTAAGTAGCCCGTCACCTATATTCTCAAAAATTCGTTTCTAAGACCTCAAAGCCTTTTTGTCTTCATCTGTCCAATGCAGAGGTACCTGTACTTGGTCCTCTTCGTTGGTGTCCAGATTTGGACCATCTTCATTCACGACGGCGACATGATCACAGGCCACTGGACGGAGAAGTTTATTAACAGTCCCGCCCACCACACGTTGCACCACATGTACTTCACAGTCAACTACGGGCAGTACTTTACCTTTGCCGACACCTACTTTGGCTCTCATAGGGCGCCGCAACCAGAGTTGGACCCTATTCATGATGCCCTCAAGGTTATGCGGGCGAAGGGACTTGTGGATGAGCAGGGCAACCCTATCAAACACCCCAAAAGCGAATAGTACCTTGACTTCCTGGAGAAGTTGTTGTGTCTGGCAGGTCTTCTCAATGAGATAATGCAAGGCATGACAAGCTATGGATTGCGGTTGCAGCTAAGTAGCGTTTCATGCTCTCAATTTTTCGGATCAACAATTGGTCTCGACACGAATGGTTTTCCTCATTATGACTAGACTTATACAACAATACGTAATGTTAATATAATGTACAAGATACGCTCGCCCTACTGTAACTGCAATCCCCACCGTGAAGACACCAAGTCAATGGTAGTACGAAGGTCCAATTTTTGGTATTAAATAAACCCGAAAACCTCCGCCGGTCCCATCCTGTGTCTCGCATCGAACGGCGGCGACGACAAGTAGGACAAATTACGAATTTGCCCCACCGTCTGGCGTCTACTTCCCCTCCAAGAGTCTTGATTGACTCTTGAGTGGAGTTTTCAATAACATCTTGCATGCTCAGATCTTGGCCTCTTCTTTGATAACAGGACAACAGAAAAACTTTGGTCATCAGATCGGCATTGTACGAAAATTGAGTAATCCTTTTCTCGCGTACACCTACTGGAGGCTACAAGCCCAGTCTCGTACCAGACCTTCGACATGATTGTCTGCACATGGGCACCCGGAGAATGCGGCTCTCAAACGCCCACAGTCCATAACTTAACTTGTCAGAAGACCTCCAACCTCAGAGTATGCCGTTGTTGCTATTCCCTTGGTCTACGCATACGTCATACCGTGGGATCTGTGTATCCACTAGGGCATCAGATATATCAAAAGCCGCATGGTTTTCGGTGACCTTCTGTCGGCATTGATGTCTTTCTAGAAAGTCGCGGTAGACGTGTCGGATCATACCTGTTCACCCAGCTGAAGCGCTCGATATAGCAACCCCGCAGGACACGGGCACTGGAGCCCAAGCTTGCAGTACCCAACGTAGAAGTATATGCCGCAGACTTCCCATTTTCAACACCTCAGCCGCACGCGCGAACAGTGTTCTCGGCCCGCCATGCCCATCTCAACCAATGTGCAGCAACCGATTGAAATGTCAGTCAGTTGCTCCACGCCCGTTTGCCCAGGTCTCTGGGCCCACCCCCGCGTTTTGCTATGTACCCCAGCGGGTGCGAAGCGAAAAATGACGCATGCCGGGTGAGATTGCGGAGACACACGACCAGAAGTCTGGGGAAAGGCCATGCGATGATGGGAGAACAAGTCCCAACGTGGCAATCCATGTTAGCTTGCCAAACTTCTTCGCGTCGAGCCTGGTCGCGTGTCGCGCCGGGCCCTTTCCGAAGTGTCGACTTGAAACTACACAATTAACATAAGTAGGACGTGAGATCTCCCTGAATATGGTCCTCAATCATCGCAAGCTTTCGAGCCTCGACGATCATCGCTGCATTGCTGGCTTAAGGTCAACACTCCACATCCTTTTTTGCCTCCTCATCGCCGCCAATATCAGTCAACATGGCTCAAACTTCATCGGACACGAAGAAAGTCGACATTTTCAACGAGAGGTCTTCTAGCATCGACAAGATTGAAGATATTACGACTTCACGCGAACATGCGGAACAAATCGCAAATCTCTCTGGCATTGAGGCCACAGCCGCTTCAAAGGCTGCTTGGCTGATCTCCATGACCGTTTCTCTCGGTGGTCTCCTTTTCGGTATGTATCCCTATCGCTGAGTAAGGTCACTTGTTTGAATCATGCTGACTATTTTGAGGCTACGATACTGGCTACATCTCTTCGGTCCTCGTCACTATCGGCACATCTCTCGGCCACGAACTCACTTCCTCCGAGCAAGAACTTGTCACCTCGCTTACTTCTGGGGGAGCACTCGTAGGAGCCGTTATTGCTGGCATGATTGCTGACAAATACGGTCGCAAGCTACCCATTTTCTTGGCCTGCGGTGTCTTCGTCATTGGTACAGTACTCCAGACGGCCGCATACCATCTCCCACAATTTGCTATAGGCCGCTTCGTTGTAGGCCTTGGCGTCGGTTCGGCGGCTATGGTAGTCCCTCTCTACATATCCGAACTAGCACCAGCCAAGTATCGCGGCCGCATGATCGCTTTCAATAACATGAGTGTTACGTTCGGTCAACTACTAGCCTCAGCCATCGGTGCCGGCTTCGCGCAAGTTGGAGGCGCCGACTCGCAGGCATGGAGGGCAACAGTTGGCATTGGTGCGGCACCCGCAATCCTCCTCGCCGGCCTTTTGACTCTCTGCCCTGAGTCTCCCCGTCAATTAGTCGCACATGGCAAAGCAGACGAAGCCAGTGTCATTCTTACACGTCTCTATCCGACTTCGACTGAAGAGCAGCGCCGTGCGAAGATTATGAGCATAGAGATGAGCATCAACGAGGCTACACAAACAATGGTAGACGACTCAGTGTTCAAGACGCTAGCCCGCATCTTCACGACCGGATCCACATTTCGCGCTGTATTTGTAGCATGCACAATCATGGCCATCTCTCAATTGTCAGGCTTCAACACGCTCATGTACTACTCCGCAACTCTCTTCAAGATCGTAGGGTTCAACAACGCCACCGCTGTCGCCATCACCGTTTCCGCTACGAACTTTATCTTCTCGCTCGTCAACCTTGTCATCGTCGACAAGTTCGGTCGCCGTCGCATACTCTTGGTGACAGTCTTGGGAATGAGTATCTGTCTCGTCATTGCTGCCGTCAGCTTCTCTTACATCCCAATCGACTTACACACTTTGGCTGTTCAGAGCGATGAGATCGGCTGGCCAGGTTATGTGCTCATTGCTACAATCATCATCTTTGTTGGCTTTTACTCTAGTGGAGTCGCAACTGTCGCATGGATCGGCACCGAGTTGATCCCCATGGAGGTTAGGGCGGTTGGTACGATGCTCAACACAGTCACATGTTGGAGTACCAACATTATTATCGCCTCAACCTTCCTTTCTATGATGAAGGGTATTACTCCATCAGGGGCCTTTGGCTTCTATGCAGGCATCTGCTTTGCCGGTTGGCTCTTTGTCATCTTCTGCTTCCCAGAAGTCAAGGGAATGCCGCTCGAGGCTATCCGTGAGGTGTTTGAACATGGCTTTGGTGTCAGATATGCGAGAAAGTGGCAGAAAGAGAACAAGGAGTTTGCTAAGATCAATGCGGGTAACTCACAAGCTTTTGGGCATTGATTGGGTGTACTTAGGTATGGGTGCGATGGGGCTGACCACAAGATTCCCTTCATGTAGCTACTTTAGTTATGCTTGGCTCACAGTGAGCGATAACATGACAAATACAATACAATGTTCCAAATTCTTAACTCTTGAGCACATCTTTTGGTATGGCACAGCATCTTATCAGTGATCGCGCGGGTGCTAAATTTTGCCATATACCTCCCGGGATATGTTGAGATATGAACGAGATCCGAAACGCAATCGACACCTTCGAATGTTTAGCACGTGTCTGAAAACCCTCAGACAGGCTATCTATAGATACGGGTCTGAAATTCGTGTTATGAGTGTCCTGAAGTGATGAGATAATACCTCAGTATTAGTGTTATTCCCCCTATCCAAGTACCACGGTAGAAGATCGGTTCCCCATTCCGTGCCCCTAACAAACTCGCCTCTTTGCCCCGGACAACATATCAAACAATACGCACAATAATTCTTTCCTCCGTAATCCTTCAGACGTCTTCACACACGTTCCAGCATATGTCGCTACAATGCGCAAAACCAACCTCATCGCCATCCTCGCAGCAGCCATTAGTGGCGTAACAGCCATCGACAAGATCGCAAACAAAGCCGAAAAATGTATCAGCTATGCCGTTACAGATACTTCATGGGCGGAGAACGACCTGAGAAGACGACGAGTCGTCTACGACACTACCGGACTCATCCCACACTACGATCAGACGCTATATAGCATTGGGTGGATGTGGTCAAACGAGAAGAAAGGTGCGTATTGCACAGAGATTTGAAGCTCAAGTATTGAATGTTGACAATGATAGCATGTAATGCCCAAGCCGTAGACACGATTGTGTACTACAATGGTATAATCATACCAGGCGGCACATATGTGATCGAAAGCAGTGAAGAGTTGAGTGAAGATGGCGACCGCGCGTATCAGTGTCTTCTGGAAGTGTTCAAAATTACTCTGGGAAACAACTTGAACTGCACGGCGGTATAAGTTGAGGATAGGTTCAAGATTGCAGATGGTTCGTCATTGGGTTTGGAGAGCTAGAGTTCTGAGTTGAACAAAAATACTAATTGATGCGCAGATGCATCACGAATGTATCCCCCAGGTTTACGCAATAAGAAACTATCAATGTACGAGATGCTAGATAATGCAACCTCGAGTCAACGAGCGCCTTCTTATGCATCCCACCTCTTTGTGTTATCCCCACTCTTCACTTGCAGATAGTTTCCAGCAATCGGCGCTTTGAGCCCGGCATCCGCTATGAACTTTGGCCAATCGATCCCGAATCGGCTGCTGACGGCTTGTTTGTGCGCAGCCGGTACCGCGAAGTTTGCTGGCTGCTCATGCAGCAAGAATACGTAACGATGAGTGGGAGGCGCGCCAGCAGGAGGCGCAGGACCAAAGTATGACGAAGGCGTTGTAGCTGTCGTAGTGAGGACAGACGTGCCGTTCTGCTTGTTGCCAGATGCTGTATAATCCTGCAGAAGGGCATGCAAGACAGTTGTTGTACGGCCGTTCTGAGAACCATCTATGTCTTCATGGTGTTATTATGATTATCTTTGCAAAAGTAATGTTGCAACATACCGATCATTGCAAGTAAGTATTTCCCGCTAAGTGTCGTGTTGCTGAGACCGATGACAGGAGCTCTTTGCGTGACTGATTAGCATTAGCATAGTTATTTCTTCTCCCACATCTTGCACTCATACTAGACTTTCTGACGATGATACCAGGACTAATATACTGTGTCCCGTAGTATACGTCCAGTGTTTTATTTGTCGCAGGAGTGAAGCCTGAGGGAGTAGTTTGCGCGAAGGCCGATGTAGCGAGAAGCAACGATACAACAGCTGTGAACTTCATCTTGATAACACCTTGGTAAAACAATTGACTTTCAAAGCGTCAAGCAATTGCTCACGATTGCGAGCAGTCAGTATACTACATTATAAAGGCCCCACAGCAACAAGGGGGTCCATCGCCTCCACTACAGTCATGCTATCGGTGTACAGGTCTGCCACAACATGTTTAATACAAACCAAGAGATATTAAGACAAACATGTGCTTATAGATGAGGCTTGAGCCTAAGCGACTTGGATATATTGTAGGCTGAAAGGGTCACCCCCTGTCACCCCCACAAAACACGTTTGGATATGTTCGGCACTTGACAGGAGTCTTTTCCTATCGATTGCAGGAAATTCGTTAGCTCGTCAGCCCAATATGAAACTGCTCTTTGCTCTTGCTACATGTCCGCCCAGAAGTGCTACGGCATGGTCATTTGGTAGACGAGCTCAGCTAGATGTACCAGCAGCTCGGGATACCCAATTTTATCAACTAAAGTCCTCATTGTATGGGTCCTTAGAAACACGATTTCCGATCTGAGACACTGACTATTTGCCGTAAGGATGACCCCACGGTCGACAATCAATGGGTGTCCATTCCAGCCAGCCCCTCCAATATCGGCATCTACGTACTCACTAGCAGCCAACACACCGCTAGTAAGTTCTCTCTCGTTCGGTATAAAGTAACAGATACGTAGGAACTTCACGTGGCAGAGGACATTGATCGACAGGTAGTACTGCATGGACGCAATCAGTCTAGCGAACTCCTGTACATGAGCCACGTTTTGCGTCCAAGTCCAATTGGAGTTCTTGAGTGAGAGTTGGCCGAACGGAGGATCTTCATCTTGTACAACAACATCTTGGACATCGGAGATGGGAATGCACTGACGGAAAGATCCTTCGTCACGGTGCACCCTGAAGTCGAAGGTGGTGCGTATGAGCTTGCATTACAAGACGGCGAGTGCCTGGATGCCTTACTAGAAGCCGTAGGTAGGTTTGAAGTTGATATGTTAGTGCAAGGAATAGCAACAGTTCGTTGCGAATGGTGACAAGTCTAGATCTGACATTTGTGAAGCTTCCAAGGGTTCGATCTTGGGAGTGTAATATCTACCGGTGTGGTGTTTCTTCAACGTAGCAAATGGTTCTGGTTGTGTTGGGTCAAGTCTGTGCGTTATCGATAGCGACTTCCCAAAAATCCAACTCCAATCTTGGCATCCCACCAACGCCGCTCCCATTGTCGACAATCCACCAACCCCGCCCTCTGCGCCCGCCGCCTACACTCTCCCCTAATACCAGACTCTACGACACTCACCATGCCGGGCGCCAAGACCACGCTGCTCATCGAGGGCACCTTCGAGGAGCTTACCGACGAGTTCGCACAATACATTGACAGCCTCAAAAAATCCCAGGGCGATGAGAGCGCCAACCTCCAGGGCGAGAGCGCAGACCTGCTCAAAGAGAACAAGAAGGACGATGTTCTCAAGAAGCTCGTCGTCGGTAGCCAAGCGCTGAACCAGGCGCCAGAGAAGGGTACGGCTTCAGTCATGACACGAGAGGGCGTGTGTTGATGGGAAAAGACACTGGGCTAACAATGAGCGCGCAGAATTCATCGCGGCATACAACCTGCTTATCCACCTCGTAAACCAGTCGCCGAATGTGTCCGTGTTCATCCCCAAGATGTGCCAGAACCTTAGCACACCTATCTCTTCGTCGCCTCAGAACGGTGGTGGTCTGGCTCTCTCCATCCTCAGCACCATCTTCAACACCACCCAGCCGGACAGCGAAACGCGCTACCACGTGCTCCTCGCCATTCTCCGTGTCATTCGCGCTACATCAAATTTCGAGACGCTACGACCACAACTGAAGCAGCTCGACAGCTGGATAGCTGCATGGCAGACTGGGGAGGAGAATGCGCGCAAGCTTTACCTTGCTGTTAGCGACGTCGCATCGGACGCTGGCGAGGACGAGCAGGCATACACATATTTGCTACGCGCGCTTAGGACGTTCCCTTCAGAACAAGCATCGTCCCCAGAGGCTCGTGAGCTTTCTCTCCGCGCCCTCAAGTCGGCCCTTACCCACCCCACCCACTTCGACTTCCAAGATCTTACCGATCTCGACTCGATCCAGGCCCTCCGCAACTCCGACCCTGTCTACTTCCAGCTCCTCGAGATCTTCAACTCGGATCTGCTAGAGGACTTCAACGACTTCAAGGATGAACACGATGGCTGGGTTGAGGAGTCCGGTCTCGACGGCGCTGCCTTGAACCGCAAGATGCGCCTTCTCACTCTCGCATCCATGGCTGCATCCGCCGGTCAGACCAGGTCGCTTCCCTACGAGAAGATCGCAAACAAACTACAAGTACCATCTGAAGACGTCGAGATGTGGGTTATCGACGTAATCCGCGCGGGTCTTGTCGAGGGCAAGCTCAGCCAGCTCAACCAGACCTTCCTGATCCACCGCTCAACATACCGCGTCTTTGGCGAAAACCAGTGGAGAGAGGTGGACTCCAGGTTAAACCTATGGCGAAACAGTCTACAAGGTGTTCTGGACGTCATTAAGCAAGAGAAGCAGAGGTTCTTGCAGGAGAAGGAGGACGAGGCAAACAAGGCAGACCAGAAGGCTGATATGTCCTCGAGGTTCGGCGGACGGGGTGGACAGAGGAAGCAGCACAGGGCCATCGATGAAGATATGGACTAAGTGGCTGCAGCGACTTGATTCGCGTTTGTTTCTTTCAAAAGGGGTAAGCTTGGGACGGATGCATTATGAGGCTTTTCAGGTTCATGAACAGCAGCCCTCGAGCTGCATGATAGACAATGCAATTCAGATATATTGATTCTTGCGCCCCTCCCACTGTCTATGAAGCCTGTGTCTGTACAAATGTAAGATTGATGGGCTTCACGCCACGCTCCTTGAGCTTCTCCTGCACATCCCGGTAGACCTGGTCTGGCTCCTGTTCCGCGTTTATCTTGACAACCCTGTCCTGCGATTCAAACTCTTTGACCACAGGCATGCTTGTCTCCACGAATGTCCTGAAGCGCTTTCGGATACTCTCCGGGTTATCGTCCGCGCGACCGGATGTCTCGCCACGGTGGAGAAGTCTCTTCTCCATGACGGCCTCGGAGCAGTCAAAAAAGATGGTGAACTTGGATGGGCAGACAGAGCGCTCGAATGCGTGAGCTTGGTCGAGTTTTCGTGGGAAACCTGTTAATGTTAGACGATAGAGGAAGACTAGTTGTATTGGGCATCGTACCATCAATCAAGAACAATTTTCCGTGGTTCTCTCCGCTCTCAATGCTACTCTTCATAGCATTCTCCAACAGCTGAACGGTGACCTCCATTGGCACAATGGTGCCCTCCTTGATGTACGTCTTGATCATCTCGCCGAACTCGCTGCCCGCACGGTCCTGCTCCTCACGAAGCAGGTCGCCAGCAGAGAGATGCTTGAAGCCATAGTCGCTGACGAGCTTTGTACATTGAGTGCCCTTTCCTGCACCAGGACCACCGAGGACGAAGAGTACGGTGACTTCGTCGCTGGACCAGAGAGGAGAAGAGCGGCTGCCGGCGGCAGTCCCTTCGATAGCAGGCATATTGGCTAGTGAGGATGCGAAGGCTTCACTTGTCCTTTGCCACTGGGTGAGTGGCCCTGAATCGGTCCTTTGGGTTGGTATCCCTCGCCTTTGCGCTGCTCAACGATCTGGTTGAACAGGTATGTGCCTAGTCCCAAGATAGCGAGGATAGGCCAGACCTTGAGGGGAGATTTGGAAGGCGGAGTCCGGATGTGTGTCGGAGGCTGCAGGGATGAAGATATGGGGTCAGTGTATGCCTCGCATGCATTTCGTAGGGTCACAACTTACTTCGTTGGGGCCTGTTGGTTCGCCTGGTTGACGGAGACGAGATGCGTTTACCCTAGAGGAGGTAAAGGCGCGAGTTGCGAAGAATTGAGGCTGACGAAGGAGGATACGCTGGCGCGAGAGTAGCGACATAATGATAATAAGGCGATATGGGGAGGGGCGATTGTCGCAGAGACGAGGAATGTACGTGTACACTAACCTCAGGCGGGGCTAGCTCAGGGCCCAGGCTTGCTAGCATCAATTGATCATTGATGTTGTTCTCCACTCCCCATCTTTACTGGTACGGCAGCTACCACATTCTCACCAACTTGATCCGACCTTGAACCATAGCTAACTGTTATCTACGGCTAACAGATAGTCTCAGCTTTCACCGCTTGGGAAGCTTAAAGACATGGTCACAACCGCTTTCTTCTCCCGCGCTCGCAGGTCGGCGGTGCATGCGCCAAACAAGATACGCGGCTTCCTTGCTTTACCCGGAGAGATCAGAAATCAGATTTACAACTACTACTTTGAGTCGGAGCGCCGCTGTGAGATTGTCGGTAATGGAGCCCAATTTACACAGCGATCGCCGCAAACCGTCAAGCTGTCATTGAATCTTGCTCTTGCGAAAGATACCACCCCGGCGCATAAATCTGAGGCAAATATTATTCCTCCTACCGCGGTCCGCTTCCCAAGACCCCTTGGTAAGTACAATGCTGTCCGGGGATTATGCACGAATTGGCAGGGTTCGCTGCATGCCCTGAGTCTTGTATGCAAGCAAATCTACTCGGAGACAGCAACCTTCCTATACCAGAAGACAGTCTTTGTGTTCAACGCGCCAAAGCGCATGGTCAATTTCTTCAGATTCGCCTCCAGCGTTGGAATTGAGAACATCACCATATTGCATCTCCACTACAACACCTATGGTCACCCTCATAGAACCGATTTCCGAATCTGGCAAGAAAAGCACAGCCAGAGTTGGTAAGTACTATGATGTGCTTCGTGGGCTCGGCTGTGCTCTTGCATGCTATACGCAAAAGTAACTAACACTGTGCTCACTTCTAGGCAGCGAGCTTGTAAGACCGCCTCGAGGAAGCTCACAAGTCTACACGAGCTTGAGGTCTGGATGAAAGTTCACGAAGCCGCTCCGAAGCTCAGCCTGCGTGAAAAATGGTTGAGGCCTTTGCTCCAGTTTCGGCGGTTGGCATGTCCCAAAGAACTGGCGAGTAGAAAGACAGCGTCAACCCAACCTGTCCATTGTCAGTCGGGACTTCAAATCGCCAACGTGCATGTTGAGACGCATTGGACCAAGAATGTTGAGCTTTACTGGGCTGATAACAGAAGGCTAGTAGAGGCAAGTAAGGATCTTCACCAGCTCTTCGGACAGGCTGTCGGATTAGCGATCATTGGCTCGACAGAACAGGCGGCAATGGCTGGGTTCAATGCAGCATGGAGGGAGAAACATGCAGAGTGGAGAAATCATCTTCCACTGGTTCGAGGAGCATGACGAGTATTGTTTCAAGACCAGGGGCGCATCAGACATTCAAAGGATCGACCCAAGAGACATCAATACTGTTTAAGTGAGTACGATGTATGCCACTCGCTACTGTGAAGACGCATTATGCTCATGCAGATGATATGCTCAGACTAGCATCTGTCGACATCATTCCGACTGTCCTCCTCATTTTTGAGTCTATGTGTCTACCCGATTCTATGTTTCTAATTGATGGAAGACTCCTAAGGACGTACACTCGGTAGCAGAAAAATCTTAAATGACCCAACTTTATGAGGCTCAAGCACTCGGATTCTGCTTAGTAGCCTCATCGTCAACCTGTGCCTTGTTCGCAGCAATCTCCTCCTCAACCTCCGGCGGGAAGTCCCCAGGTACGATACCAAAGACGCCGATATCACTCCTGCCCATACCTCCGCCCTTCTTCTCTGTCTCCTCACTCTCCTTCAACACGAAGAATCCAGCATTCTTCTTCATCTCATCTTCATCAAACTCAAAGACACGCCAGTCGGCGTTGAAGAACATGCGGTTGCACACACCCGTGCGCAGGAAACCCGAATGCGAGACAACGGCAATAACCTTCTCGGGACGCGAGTAGAGGTCCTTGAGACATCTCTGTCCACGTGCTAGGATAGCCTTTTCGGTAAAGGCGTATGGGTTTTTGGCTCCGCCTGTTGTCTTATCTGGGAACGAAGGGTCTACAACTGAGAAGTCGTATTGCGGGAATTCTTTAGAGATCTGGTCGATGGGTGTTCCAGTATCACAGGGCTTGTCGGCATTTTCTTGCCAGTTTGCGTCAGGTATAACTGTAAAGCGAATCAGAACTCATGTTACACTGGTATAGAAACGAGCGTCTTCACATTCCGTGAACAACCTTACCTTTTGTACCCTTCTTGATAAGCCAGTCTAGTCCAATAGTGGCAGTCTGAAGCGTCCGTCTTTGAGCGCTCACAACAATGAGTTCAACTTCGTTGCCGATCTTGCTCGCTTTCAGACTCTCGTGTAGCTCGCGGGATTGCTGTTCGCCCAGCTCGGTAAGTGGAGGATCACGGATAGACCAGTCGCTGGTGGCATTATGTTCTGCCTGAGCATGGCGGATAAGTATAAGAGTTGGCGGCATGATGGCAAACAGCAATTGGTTAGATAGAGGGAGTGTAGGTGGAGGGAGAGACGCGTGACGTATGGTACTTATGGAAGTTGTTGACTTGGTTTTCAAACTCGGCTTGCAGGTGACGCGCTACAGTAGTGGGGCGGATGTACCTGCATGGCGATTCGTCGATGATGTCAATCCATAAATGGCAGGAGCGACGAAGCAAGTTTGGTAGGCGGACCGAACGTGAGAGTGACATTGCCGTGCTTGCTTCTGTAAATGTTGTTCATTTGATCGTGAAAGGCAATGAAAGCCGCTCGTTATGCATGTTACCGTCTACGCAGTGTCATGTCGTCGTCTACTCCTCCATCTTCTCCTCGTCCTCGTCATCATCATCGTCTCCCTCTAGTGCCTTCTTTGCTAACTTCTCAGCCTCTTCCCGGATGTCTTTGGGTACTTCTTCGTGCCTGCCCTTGGTAGGACCGTCGAGACTGCTGATCCATGTCATCTCAAGCTCAAACTCCTTGTCCTTGTTGTCATCGTGCGCGACGTAGATGATGCGTGCTGCCTCCTTGACACCCTCCTCCAGTGATAGCTGTCCTTCAGCGAGGTTGAGCTTCTCGAGCTCCGACTTGGCGACCTGGCGGCCCTTGCCTGTAGCCGCACCGTAGTAACCCTATGCGCGTTAGTTATTGCCCAATTCTCGACAAGATGATTCTGCATACCCAATATAGACCGCTGGGCTCGATCATGTAGAGTGATGGCCCACCGTGCTTCGCACCCTCCTTCTTGCCTCCCGAACCAACAGCAGGCCCAGAACCGACTTGGCCGTCTACTGGTAGCTCTGCCTCAGAATCCCAGCCTGCAAGGATGGCGGTTATACCAAATGGACGGACACTGGAGTAAAGAGTATATGCTTGGGCATAGCTTCCCATGCGGTCGGCAAGAGACGAAGAGGGAATGGGTGCCTTGTACATCTGCCGCCATTGAGCTGCTTCATCGCGGGCGCGGGAGACGAAGTGGCGACCGTCGGGGAGGAGACCAGAAGATACGATGCCCATATTACGGTCCACGGTTGCTATCCGCTTGTTCGCGCCTGGCTTGAGGAGCTTGCTGCTGACAAGCTTCTCGAGAGCGAGTACGACGCCATCCTTGCACTTAATGCCAACCGCTGTGCCACCGTTCTCGACCGCCTTGACCGCGTATTCGACCTGGAAGTTTCGACCATCGGGGGAGAAGACCGAGTTGGACAGGTCGTAGCCCGTGCCTATTGAAGTCTACACCATGGTTAGATCGACTGGGGTGCTTGCACTGTTGCGGTGGGGTGTTTACCATGGTGGGCGGGGTGAAGACTGAAGACGGTGATGTGGGTTTTTCGAGATGTCAAGTAGTCCCTGGGTTGTAAAGGAACAATTACCGTATTAGCAAACGTTGAAAGTCGAGCGTCCCGGTGTTGATGATTCTAGGCAATGGTGTATCTGCGCAAGCTCCAGTAGCTCACTAGCGCGCCAAGGAGATCATCCCCGGTCCCCGATACCCATTGTAGAGGCATCAGCACCAACGTACGCAAGTCACAACGCCCGCAAACGTTGCGATCTTCCGGGTCCCTTGTGACGTTCTCGAAACCAGTTGGTGCGATCCGTCCTCTCATTGCTGGTCTCTCCTGTATTCGCGTATTCGCTGTCTGTTGTCCCGGCTTCTTCCGCCTGGACCGCTCCAATTGCACACACCTACATCCAAAAGTGCATACGCTCATACACATTTGATGAGTTGTCGTCCCAAACCGACCACTATTTACAAGCTCCAGAGACACATCATTGGCTGTCCAAAGACTAGCCGAACAAGTTGGGTTTCAGCTTCGTCACTAATTGGATGGGGGCGACAAAATTATCAGAATCATCCCGCCTACACGCATGACCCCAACAGCACGCTATACTTAACGGTACATAAAGAACCACCATCACGCTGCTGCTAATTTTCCTACTGACCCCTCTTCACTGCTGACTTGATTCAAGTGTCTCTGAATACCTTTCTCTGTTTGTTCCTGACTCACAGCGCCTTTGACCCCTTCCCCGCCGACTGTCGTCAGCGCCCAACCAACGCACGCGCGGATAGTACGAGCCAATATCAAAGCCTAGCAGCGAAACATAAGTTCGAGTGCCCAAGATATTCTATCGTTACAAGTGTCATCCGATTCGACGACTGATACAGTTTTCCAACCTTCTTTTTTTTCCACGTTGCCCCTCATACCGCTTGCTGTTGAGACCCTAGAGGATATGCAGCTCCTCCACCACTGCAACTGCACTTACGACACGCCCATCTCGTACAGTCCTTTCGTTTTCTCTCAGAATATCTCTTGCTCAAACGTAAGCTCGATCATCATCGGTCGATGCTACTAGATACTAACATTACGTCATAGTGCGGCACAATATCTACAGGCATCAACGTCCAAGGGAAAGCAGCAGAAGACGCAAACATGCAGCAAGATGAGCTTACCCGGTTGTTTTCAGCCAGTATGAACTTGTCGCAAGGAAACGTACAGCCCATGCAACCACAGATGCACCAAGAGCAACAAATGCAGCAGCAAGAGCAAGAGCAAGAGCAAGAAGAGACCCCGAAGCAGATTGTCTACGCTTCCCAACACTACACCCATTCATACCACGTACCTACTCGCAGTTCCTCTGAGCCGGCCTTGAAGACGCACATCGACTCGTCGGATCTCGCGGCTGTACTCCTAAGGAACAGCATCGACCCCACTCTTCTGTTCCCTTCACAGATCGAGCTCTTCCAAAATGCGGATGATGATCAACGGCTCCGTCTCCTGGAGCTTTGGCGTATATCTCCTCCATCAGGACGTCAAGGTCACCCAGCAGGCGTAGACTACAACATGTCTAGACAGCTTTACGACTGGCCGCCCACCAGCCTAGCACAGGAGGAGGCAATGGCGAAGTTGAGATACGAGAAGCAGCAGGCAGAGTCGGCACAACAAGAGGCTATTCAGCAGCACCAGCAGCAGCTGGAACAGAGCATGTCTGCAGCAGCTGAACCCTATATGGCGTCGGGATATGAGATGATGGCTAGGCGCGAGTATGAACAGTCAGCGCGAGCTGAGAAAGAATCGAACAAGTACAACCAGGCCACCGACCCGGTCTACAACAACACAGGGAGCAATGGGCTCTGGCAGAAGAACGCGAGTAGCGTCGCGGATATGGAGAACACTTACGGGGCGTATGCATATGCGCGAGAATATGGACTGCACGGCGGATATGGCGATGAAGAGATGGTCATGTAAAACATGATGTCGCTATGTCGGACTCCCTGAGGATAGGGGCCCTGACGAGTTTATACGTTGGCACGCCTGTGTGCACATCCTTGTTTCCTATATTATACCCAGAACTAGTTGCACACGCGAACAATAACGTCGAAGGATTGTCGTACATGAGATACTTCGGTTAGCAGGATACCCAGGCAGAACTACATTGCAATGTATCGATTGAGCTGCACTTAGGTTTCGTTGTGTGATGAAACAAAACAGTATTGGTACATTCGAACAGTTGTTTTCCAAAGGGGTTCAAGAAGATGCAGTCTATTTCGCCTTTCCACTCGGCCACTTCTTCCAACCTCTTCCATGTCCCCTCTGCTTCCATTCCTGGATCAAAGCGGGCATGTTCAGCATAGCTTGCCTCCTCATCTCTAGACGTCCCTTCAATGTTCGCTCCCAGAGCTTTCCCTTGACTTTCTGTCCCTCGCCTGTGCCCTTGACTTGCAGTCCTCTTTCTACCCTCCGCCTTTCCTTCTCGCCTGGCTTCTTGATGGTCCAGGGGAGGAGATCAACGACGCCATGTTCTGATGCGAGCTTTACGAGGTCGGCTTGCTTCCGTAGACCGTAAGCGGGGGAGTGCCACCGTCCGGTTGCGAAGTTCTTATGTGGGAGAAATGGATTTGGGTACGGCAAATCGTGCGCTTCTGGCGGTATATTTGAACTCGAGGGCGCATTTGAGGGTCTGGGTGTGACCTCCGGCGCCGACACCTCGGTCATGGAGGCATTGGGGTCGGTTGGTGGGGTTGTCGATATTGTGTCTGGGGTTGAGTGTGAAGTCGGCGATGCGAGTTGAGAGGAGAGACTGGGAAAGAGCGATGGTGGCGGGTACTTTTGGAAGAAGCGCAGTAACCGCGGCGGCAGTGACTTTGCAATCTCGACAGACTTTTGGGCGCTCATGGTGGGTATCTTGTGCGTTGCGATCGCTATGGGCGTGTCTGTTGGTGCATGTCAAAAGTTCGCGCCAAGGCTACGAGGTCCAGGGTGGAGCTACTCGCGCCGCCTGGCCGCCGCGTAGCTATTGCTACCTATCTGAGTACATCACAACCTCAACCAACACCACAGCTTTCAACACACGCCAGAGAGTCGTTTCCCCCTCTCTGCTACAAGTCACAGACCAAGGCGGAAAACACATCAAATACACAGCCATGGTAAGTAATCCCGCTGTCAACATGCAGTCCATAGCTAACCGCACCAGTCGTCACCATTCTCCATAAGTACGCTTCCACGGAAACCTCCACGCATACTCTTCTGACTATTTGAACAGACGGCGGTGCCTGTGTGGCCATGGTGGGCAAGGACTGCGTAGCCATAGCATGCGACTTGCGTCTCGGCATGCAAGCCCTCACCGTGTCCAACAACTTCCCCAAGATCTTCCAGTACGGCGACGTCTTCCTAGGTCTTACAGGACTCGCCACCGATGTATCCACCGTATCAGACCTTTTCCGCTACAAGGTCAACATGTACCGTCTCCGCGAAGAGCGCAACATCAGCCCTCAGACCATGGCGAACCTCGTAAGCTCAAGTCTGTACGAGAAGCGCTTTGGACCCTACTTCATAAGCCCGGTTATTGCCGGTATAAACCAGACGAGTGGAAAGCCTTTCATTTGCGGATTCGACAGCATTGGTTGCATTGACTTTGCGAAGGACTTCATTGTTAGCGGAACCGCAAGCGATCAACTGTTCGGTACATGTGAAGGACTGTGGGAGCCGGATCTGGTGGGTTGTATCAATGTTTAGATTGAACCAAGCTAACATTCATGGTAGGGCCCCGAGGACCTCTTCGAGACAATCTCACAGGCGTTGCTCAACGCCGTCGACCGAGACGCACTTTCAGGTTGGGGCGCACACGTTTACATCATCGAGAAGGACAAGGTTACCAAGCGGTTACTCAAGGGCAGGCAGGACTGAGGTGGTGTATGGTACGAGGTGGCATATGATCATGTTTACGAGCTACGATGAATATAGGGTGCCGGAGATCTGCCTTGTGGCTGTGACGAGAATAGGAGGCAAGATCACACCATGCTGTGATATGTACGCGATATCGCTCTAGGTACGCCATCTGGACCGCAGACAGCTAGAATTAGCTCCTGAATGAAGGCATCTCCAAGTCGATACACGTTCTTGGAGCCCGTCATGACAAATCCGAGGACAAGCTGGAAAGCCCCAGGCAACTATAGACGATACTGGGTGGCTGGACATGAGCATCTACATAACACGTGTGACGCTATTATCTGAAGCAGTGTATGGCAAACCGATCCATGTAGCGGGGCCAGCTTACTATCGATAGTGATCACGCACGTGACCTGGTGTTGCCTTAGCGTGCATGCGATCTATAGTTCGCGTGAATCCTCCTCCGCAACTCTACAAACCGTGACCTCCGCAAAAGTAAGATGACCGCCGCCGTTCCGCCCCCAGCTGCTCGTAAGCAGCCCCCGAGTATCGACGACATATTAAAGGCCAAGCGCGATAAAGAAGCGGCTGCCGCGAAGCCCAAATTCATACCAAAAGCGGAGAGGGAGCGCATTGCGCTTGAGAAGCGGAAGAAAGAAGTGGAGGAAGCGCAAAAGAGGCGAGAGGCTTCGAACGGAGACAGCGATGTTTGGAGACACTCGCAAGAGCACAACCGCACGAATGGTCAGGCCAGTTACAATGGTCACAATGGCTCGTCCTCGTCCGTACCTACAGGGCCTCGTTCGATGCGCGATGCGCCGACTGGACCATCATCGATGCGAAACGATCGCAGAAACGGAGACATGGCACCCCCACCACCACCGGATAAGAAGGGCAACAAGCGTCCAGCCGAGGACGCTGAGGCTCTGATAAGACAACGATACATGGGCGCAGAGCAAAATCAGTCAACGTTTTCAGCCAAGAAGAAGCGCAAGCGAACGACAGAAAAGAAGTTTAACTTTGAATGGAACGAAGAAGAGGATACCAGCCACGACTATAACCCAATCTACCAACAGAAAGCTGAAGCAAGCTTCTTTGGACGTGGCAGACTTGGTGGCTTCTC